AAGAGGGTAATATAAAAATTTGGCACAGATGGAACGTGATTCATGTAGCATTCTTACTTTTGTTGGCAAAATGATGCCAATAAACTATTATGGCATGTGTTGGCATGGGGCAAAGTGAGTCTTAAAAAACAAATTGCCGTCCTTCCAGCATTAATCGGGCTTGTGTGCTTAAGGCCTGATTCTGCACATTTAGTCTGGCTGAAGTCGGTGTTCTCCTTCCACTCTTGTGGACATTGGGTGTTGCAGTGGGTTCACCCAAGCGCTGCAAGGATTCAGAGCTGGTGCAGGGAGGTGCCTTACAGTATGAGGGAACCGTGAGACAAGGTCTGTCGCGGGGCTCTTCAGCCCCTGTTCTCCTTTTACCAGAGAAGAGGTAGCACAGCCTGTTTTCTCACAGAAGCCCAGCGGTGATAATTAATCACAGCTGCCTCAAAGGTGAAAAGTTCCTTGTGAGTGCTAAGTTTAAATGCATTCCTTAATCAAAAATGCATTAAGTAAAAAAACAGGCATGCTGGGTCTCCCCAGCTGAGTGAGTTGCTGATTTTTCCCTGTAGCAGACGCGGGTATGCCTGGAGCCTCTTGGGATATTGTGTGAGAGGATGCAGGCAGCTTTTGCCTTCCTGCCACAGCCATGGCTTGGCCGTTAGGTTAACCACGTCCAGAGCTGCTTTACTTTCATGTCCCGCATCCGAGGGAAGGCTCTGGCCTTCTTTGCAAAAACCTCTTTTGTCGTGTGGCTGCAGGAGGCCGCGAGGATCCCTGAAACGTGGCGCTCCAGCCGCTTTCCGTGCAGCTCAGCGCCGGTTCCCCGGATAGTTGTGCGTTAGGCTAGCCCCATCCCCTCTCGTTCGCTGCCCCGGTGCAACGATGGCTGTGCAGAAACCGTATAACGCTCTCACGAAGAGCAAGTGGGGAGCTGTCATGCTAATAACTTTTGCCCCCCTAATACCTCTGGCACCAGATCAAGAGCTGCTTAAAGGCAGGACTGTGAACAGAGCTTGCCAATTGTTTAAGTGCTTTCTCCGAATCTGAATTAAAAGAATTAAAATACTTGGTGTATTATAGGTTGTATCCGTGACAACAAATTCCCTCGCTTTCCCTTTTTTCTGGATTTGTCTCATAGTATAGACACATGGCCAACAAACAAAACCCTTCTTTTTTTTTTAAACTCATGTTTCAGGTAATAACATAATTAAGCTAAAAAAGCTAAGTAAATGGTCCTCAGCATTTTAATGGCTATATGTTTTATACCTGATGTCTTCTTATGAAACTGGAAGTTTCCTAACTGTGCAAGGCAATAAGGCTTTTGTTCAGTGGTATTAGAGGGAATTTTGCTAGCCTAAAAGAAGTGGGGATAATTACTAATTACAGGAGTTTTGTGCAGTGTATACCTGTAATAGTTAAAGGGAAAGCTGTTGACATTTATTCTGACAATTGCAGCAACAGCACTGAAGGAATCATTTGAATTATTCATTCTGCAGCAAGGAAGCATCCCACTTGTCTACTTGTCTTCTCTGTAGAAATGAAAGCCCAACCTGATTTAAAATATACTTTTAAGGGTTGGTTTCTTTTTTCTTTCTTAAGGTAATTGTGGCCTTTCAGGACTTTTTTTTCAATCACCTGTGAAAGCAGATTATTAAAAGAAAATTCTTCTGATTTCTAAAAGAGAGGAGAAACATATTTTTACATACACTGCTTCTTGTAGAAGTATAATGAAATTCAGCTTTCTTTCATAAATAATGCAGCACTTGCATTTGATTAGGTGAAGCCTAGAGGAATTTCTACCTAATCAGATACATAGCAAGAAGAATATTGCCTGCAGACTGTTACCATCATCAATGGTGGTGCCAAGGAAAATGCATCTCTGTGTGTGTCCACACAGAAAGCTCTGCTTCTAAAGGGAAGTTATAAAACAATGTATACCTTCTAACAACAGGATTTTTTGCATCTCAGAATGTCTCAGCTATTTGTAAAACAAGGTCTGGGTTCTGAATATTATTATTACTGTGGCATGAAGGTACTCTAGGTTGGCCAGAGACATCATTGTTCTGGTAATTTGTTTCTGACTTTTCCAAGAAATAAATGCACGTGGGAAGAGACAGTCTTTGCATCAGAGAGCTTACAGTCAAAATAAGCAAGGTAGGCAATGGGAAACCATTGGATCTGATTCCAAGAGTCTTGAAAAATAACAGAAAACCCTCAGTAAGATTAAAAGAAAAAAAACATACACATGCCTCCGCTCATTAGAATAATACATCATGTACAGCAAAAAGGATAAAAAGCAATTTGCAAATGGTATAGCTGCAAATTTTGCAGAAGCACTTTGAGACTTCTTTAGTAAATGTTGCTTTCATTAGTCACCTGTGGTCAAGGTTTATGATGCTGTGTAAATTTGGCCACAAGACTTTGTTCTACTCCATTTTTATCCTCAGGAAGTTGCTAATAACGGCAGTGACTGTGCATGAAGAGAAGGTAGATGGAGTAAGACCATTAGTCCTTGAGTCCACATCCATATTAAACAATAAAAGCCTCATCCTCTGTCCCTGAGGCCGACTGGCATGAGCTGGTCTGCACTCATTCAGGGAGCACCTCTCCCCCACCGAGAGTGTCTGGCGAAGCCCTTGCTCTACTGCCATAGGAAAGTAATATTCCAAATAAAAACATGAAGAACTGAAGCCCAACCCAAAAGCCCAGTGACACTGTCTTATCTCACTGTGCTCAAGTTTATCTCTGAACATGTGTTTGGATATGTAAATTTGCAAATGTCGTAACTTCTTTGGGCCAGATGCTGAGCCAGTATAAGTTGACAATTTGTGCTATCTGAGGTTCTGATTTCTCACTTGTAATAAGTAAACCTAAAACAGCAGGAATAGAGCCTAGGATACATGGGAGACGTGTTAGTGTCCTCTGATTTGCTGTCGAAAGGTTTTAACACTGCGCTCAGAACTGTATTTATGGAGCTGCTGGTCAGAACTGTGTAGTTTAAAAGTGAAATCTGTTCCCTCTTTTAATCTTAATTGAGTTTTCATTCTTCTCCAAATCAGTCCAAGCAAATCTCCCGGGCCTAAAATGTCATGGGAGCACTAGAAGCCAAGAGGAGAATTAATTTCTGAAAGTCTGAGAACAAAAACATCAGGTTTAGGGCTGTAAAATGTTAATCTGTTTCTGACTTTCGCAACAGTTGTCTGAAATACTTTTGCCCGCTCGTAACTCAAGCAACTTCATGCCAGATATTAGAACCTTTTGTTGTATGTGAGTACTGACAAAAATAATGCATGGCTTCTGTCTTAGCCAAAAGGAAAAAAAAGGCTAGAAAAAATGATAATTTCCAAACCTTTTAAATTAAAAACAGTGTCAAAATTCCCATGGAAGAAATAGAAAAAAGGCTGAGCCCTCAGTTATTTGCCCTAAGATAGATAGGATCTTCTTATTTCAAGATCCTGGCCAAGGTATCGCATACTGATACATCCCACCCAGCGAAGACCAAGCAAGCTTGGTCCTTTCCCTTGCTCCCTGCTATTCCTGTGGGAAGGATTTCCCACAGGCTGCTTCAGCTCATCAGGCGTGCCGAGTAGCTTCAGGGATGGAAAGTGATGCTATTTCAGTGCTAACTGCAATCTAGCTTTGAATTTCCTACTCTTCCCCTGTGACAAGATTAATTAGTGAGCTCTTCAAACATCACTTCAGTGAGCAGTGAATGTAGGTACTGTGGGTGAACAGCTGTGCCACTGGGCAACACAAATACTTAAGACACCAGCTTGTAACCTGCCCCTCAGTGCTTGCAGCAGGATTGGTTGCCCCTGGGAGATGGGATGTTATCTTTGCATGAGGGATGTTGACATTGTCGTAGTCATTTTTTATTATTATTAGTTATTATTATTAGTGGTTATGAGTTGTGGTCACTACATTTATCTTTAGTTGGTATAGTAGATTAAATTTTAAAAAATATATGTTGCCGCATCGTTGAGCACCCTCTTCTCAACTATGTGGTTTTGCAATGCTTGTCTGCTAGGTTTGGAGCTGGGCAGAAAAAGAATGTTGGGACTCCTTTCTTATTTAGCTGTAGAAAACATCCCATGTTCATTATCAGAGCATGTCCCCTTCTCTCAGAGGACGTGCAAGTTCCTGGCTTCACCCCCAAATCAGACCCTTGCCAGCCAGAATCACTTGTGCGCTGTGGAACCAAAGTGTGACTGATGCAAATATTGCAGCGGTGTATAAAATGATGAATTATTCATGGTACTTAAATACAGAAGATCCCAGGGCTGAACTGACATGACGAAAAACTCCACGTAAAAAACCCATGGGAAGACTTAGATTAAGAACAGTCCCAAACTTGAGAGTCAGGCTGCATTGTAGAGCCTAAATCTCTTCTTCTTCCTTTAAATGCCTCTCCTCATGCCGTACCCTGCACTATCATGACTAACTACTTTTAACGTCATTATCTATATCAATTTCCCATGAATTATAAAGCTGTTATTGGTATTTTACAAATTGGGACCTAAAGCACAGAAACGTCAAATGATTTGTTGTGATTCAAAGTAGAAAATCTTCAGGGGCAGCAGGATTTGAGACTAGATCTTCTCAAACTAAAGCCTTGACCATCCTCCCTGTCATGAATAAAATGATCATCTGAAGGACTTCAGAGGGCAAGCAGCTGTGCACTGTTTCATAACAAGAACATCAGAGGGGGCTTCTGCATATCTTCTTACATGGCTGGTCTCCCTACTTGACTGGGATTTCTGTGGGCTACTATAATGTGTTTATTTCATTGTCATTATAATTAACTTCAATTTTCATCCTTCTATGACGCAAAGTATCCTAGATGCTAAGTCTTAGCCTTGGTCACTTTCACCTCTGCTGTTTTCTGGTGAAAAATCTAAGGAAGAGTGTCCTTCCCTTTACCGAGTGCAGAACTGCAGTAGCGGCGGGACTAGCGACTAGCGAGCTTTATTTGTCAGTTAGTGAGTGTCTGTGACTTGATATTTCAATTTTTCTAGGCTGTACCCTCGTCATGCAAGTGCTCTCAACAACTTGGGGACGTTGACCAAAGACGTGGTGGAGGCAAAGGACTATTACAGACGGGCCCTTCAGTTAAACCCTCAGCACAATCGTGCACTATTCAATCTCGGCAATCTGCTCAAGTAAGTTGAACACAGAACTGGCTTCAAGGAAATTCATGTTCTCTCTGTGCTGATCACCAAAGTAGATTTTTTACCAGCTGATGAGGGAATGGCCTTATTTCTTACTGGCAACCAAGACTACCAACACAGAAACAAGGCTTAGTTTGGATACCCATCATCTGTCTGCCAGGTCAGTTTGGGTGCTGTTTGCCATCGTGCTTCAGCTTAAGGGAAGTCATCTACTCCAAACTAGGCATCAAAAACTGAGATATTGAAAACAAAACTGACCACTTGAGATTTCCACCTCAATGGTAAGCCTTTCCTGTGGAGCAAGTCACATCATTCAAAGTCAGCCATCTGTTGCAGACCTAATGAATAATGAACTTCCCTCTGGATGTTCCTATTTCTCATCATTAGCTGTAAATGGAAGGTTGGAATGTAGTTTAGGCATAAACACCTAACTCTGAGATGCTCAGAGCAGGAGATGGTTCATCCCTTTGGGAGGGGGGGAGTCTCTGTACTGGAGGGGAAAGTTGGCTTACATCCCTACATTGGTACTCTGCTGAGTCAGAAAATGAACTAATCAGCTCATAATTTGACTTGTCGTTATTTAGATTGCCTGTGTGTAGCAAGGAGAATATCAGACAGTCATAATCGTGCAAATTAATTGGAGTAACTATTTCTGAAGTCTGAAGTCAGATCTATGTGAGGATCTTTGCCAGTATGGTCTAAAATCTTCTAGAAGTGCAATTAAAAAATAAAGCACAAACATTTCCATTCCTGCACTACTATTTTGCCCTAGGGAAAAAATCCCTTGCTTTTGCTAGGATAGCTTATTTTGATAGCAGTAAACTACAGCAGTAAAAGTACATTTTTGCTGATATAAACTGCACCTATTTTGTAGGGGGCATTGCTGGTAATAGCTCTCTGGTAAATCTTTTAGAGCAGATCTGGCTTTAGTGTTGAGGGGTTATAAAGTGACACTGTCTCATCAAAACATACTTGATCTCTTTAGTTCTAAAAAGTCGCTTTTATTGTGAGTTTACATGAAGGACATTAAGCGGTTCGTTGAAGTTCTACATGGCCTGTTGGGTAATGGAGAAGTTATCAGGAGAACTTTAGAAGTAAATGTGATTGCTTTGGATTAGAATATGGAGGTGAGTAACTCTTAAATAAAAAGTAGGCTACTGCTTTACTGGAAACACTCACCAAAAAAAGAGGTAAAGATTGACTTACTACAAAAGGAATAGAAGGTCTTTGCATTATTTATCAGGTTTGGTTGACTGAAATTAATCTTAGGTGGCAAAGCTATTTAAAAATATATGTTGTCCTTTTAACCCATCATATTTACCTTAGTTATTACTCTCGGTAATTCTTTTTTTTTAATATAAAATATTAATACAAAAAGATACAATCCAGAAGCAGCATCGGGACATCTTATGTCAATAACGCTTAAATTTGGCCTGTGGGTGGGCCCTTGTGACCCAGCAGATGGGCAGAAACTGGATTTGTTGCACCTGCAAAGCACACAGGAAGCATCTGGGAAGTTGTCTTAGAACTGCTGTTTATTATGTGTGCAATATGTCATGGTTTTCCTAATGTGATATTTAAAATACTGCCTGTCTCATCGGATTGTATGCAGTCTGCATCCTGCTGTAATGCTGGGTAGTGCTATATATTAAAGGTGTGCAATGCTCACTTCGCTAAAGATCTTTAAAAGAATGCACTCAGGTTCCATCCCCACCTTTTCCCACACCCGCTTGCGCCTATTTTTTAAACCTTTTTTAGGCTTCAAAAGCAACCTGTTGCATCTGGACACACTAATAGTATTAATTATAACGGAATCCAGGTGTCTTCATCTCCCTATACAGCTTGAAAAGAAAGTTCAAAACTGCATAGAATTCATGGTGGAGGGATTAACACACACGTACACCAGATGCTGTGCAGTCACATCCTATGTGAATGTCTCCTCTCGGACACTAGCCATTCGCTCAAACCTGTTTTCCCACACCTTTCCTGGATCATCAATCACATTCACAGAGATCATTGGCTGTGCTAGAGCATTAGGTGACTCATGAGATGACCGAATGGAAAACTAGGCAGAGATTCCACACTCACTCTTCCTATGAGTTTGTGTCTGTTTTCTACCTAGCTCTCCGAATTATCTTTTCATTCAACCTGGTATAGAGCACGCACTGAGAAACTGTGATCTACTGGAGAGATCAGTTCTGTGCTGTGTATATAGGGTAACTAGTATTCTGCAGACCCTAAATGAATATAAGTTAAGAAATAAATGAAAATATGCAGAGTATTACAAGCAGATATTTCTTTCTGCCTGTGCTATGAGACGTTATGAAGAGTGTTTTGATTTTTAAACTTAAGGCTAAGAGAAGATAAAAGGTCAAGACCTAAAAGCATTTTCTGTCCTCTTTAGAGAGGTTTCAGTGATCATGCATGGTACAGATCAGGGAGAACCAGATCTGCAATACTTAAAGCATGTGCAGTAACAACATTGCTTGTGAGAGGACATGTAACGAAACCGTCTGGCATGGGGAATTCGGAGACTTACTCTGTAGCGTTCCTTATATCCACTCCTGCTTCTAGTGTGGAAATTTGATTGCAAATATGAAATTTCACTGCCTATGAGTTTTGAGAAAGAGGAACTCCATGATTTTGAAAAGAAGGATTTGCTATTCCCATGTGGGAATCTGCCTCTCATTATTCTCTGGAAATAGGCTATCTATTCAAGTAACTGTTCCTTGTGATTTAAGCTTGCATAAAAATTTGTTTTGGAAAGCACAGGCAGGGTGGAATCTTTAGGGTTTTTTTCCGTGAGAGTCCTAGATTGAAAAAACGTTTCCATTTTCTGTTTGCACGTAATGAAGACAGGTAGGTGCCAGAAGATGAGTGTTCTTAGGAAGCACTGGATGATAATGGTTGCATAAGCCCCTGATTTTGTTCACATTTTGTAGAATAAAGTTGTATGCCATTATTTTCTTGCCTTATATGAATATTGGACAGTGCATAATTAAACAATGCAGACAGATTTCTCAGATGAAAAGACCCAAAAGAATGGTCTATCTAAAAATGAAGAATCACCTTCTCCCCTTTTTTAGTCCCCATGATCAGTGATACAAAGCAGCCTGATACTACTTTCTTTTAAGTTTCACATTATGTACATATTTAACTCATATGTATAGGTTCAGTTTTGCTGAGATAGAACTTGAAAAACTGAGATAAATATGGATCATTCAGAACACCTTACATAAATTTATAGCCTGTGGGATATTCTGTAAAAAGACAGGAAATAAAATATTATGAACATTTGAAATAAATATTTAGGAGCTCAGCTTGCTATTGCAGGAAGAATGGGAGGAAACTTATTCTTTGCCATATTGTATCTATCCATATGTAAAGCACTCTAATATTCAGTACAGCAGTTCTTATGAAGAAAAGCCTCATAACTCTTACATGCTTTGAGCATGTTAAGACTACATTTTCAAGGGGAAAGGGAAATGCCTAGAAAAAATATTCACTGAAATCTTGGGTATGCTCAAAGGACTTATTCCCTGCTGAATGTGGAGTAACACACAACATGTCCTGTGCGCTTGTTAGCATGATCTAATCAGAGTTTAGCAAACTCATCTATTCATAGGAAGGACTGTCTCGCCCTCTGTAATACAGGCTTTGAGATGTATGTGTACGTGAATGTTCTGACACAGGCTCGTGTAATTGTCTGAAGGGGCTGGAAAACATCAAATAGATGTTAAACACATTGAAATTTAAAATCTTTCAGAAAGTGAAACAAATGGACGAGCCAACTGAATGATACTCTTGATGCTTCTCGTCATGTCACTGAGAAGAGTGTGGCTCTGGCTTCTGTATGTCCTCTGATTGGTGTAGCTGCAGATAGCAATAAGGTCACTCCTGAACCTTTTCTTGTCCAGCTCACTCAGCCTCTCCTCATGTGCCATGTACTCCAGCTCTGACTATCTTAGTGGCCCTCCACTGGGCTTCCGCCAGTAGGTCCATGTCTTTCCTGTAATGGGGAGCTCAAAACGTGACTCTTCTCCAGATGTGGTCTCCCAGGTGTGGAATAGAGGGAAGATCACCTCCCTGGACCAGCTATCTACTTTCTAGCCAGTCAGCCCCAGCCTGTCCTGTAGCATTGGGGTTATCCCATCCCAGGCGTAGGACTTGCATTTGCTTTTGTCTAATTTCATGAGCTGCTTGCGAGTCCATTTCTCCAGCCTGTGCAGGTCCCTCTGAGTAGCAGCCCTGCCCTTCAGCGTACTGCCCGCTCCTGCCAATTTGGCGTTATCCACATTGCATAAATGAATGCCAAGGGAATATATCTAAATGATCTGAATCATTCCTAACACAGAAAGTCAAGCAGTCTTAGAAGTTTACTTTTACATAGGCACGGCTGGATGATAGAAAACCAAAATCAGATGCTCAGAAAAGTTGTGGAGCCTTTACTGAGTTCTGTGTTTCTGGCTTTACTGCAGTAAGAACAAACTTCACAAAGTAAGACAAATCATTTTAAAACTTAAAAAGTGCACTAGAACACTAATTCCTAGGCTACTCTTTCAATCTGTTGTGAATGAAATTTGCTCCAGTGCTAACAGCCCACACACAGCCCCTGTGTATCACCAGACCTCTAGCTGATGGCTGAAGCTGATGTTTCTCAATCTGTGGGTCACTTGCAAAATTATGGAAGAGATGCTCCTGGTGGAAAGAGGCATTCCTTGCACACTGCTTGAACACGCTAACTGCAGGGGGGAGGCTGGGGGCACAAGTAGCAGAGGGAATCAGGAGAGGACGTTGCAAGGCAAGGAAATTTGGGGAAAAATTGGATTAAGTGATCATAGACCCCTTCTGTCAGGTGAATTTGTTCCTCTCTCTGTCATAGTGAAGGTAAATTTTACCCAGCTTTTCCTGCTGCAGATACCCAATTCATGGTAAAGTAGCGTATCGGACTGTTCTCCCAGTGCTCTGTGTTCTCCCAGATTACATCAGAGTTATAAGAGCTATGGCCTCGATCCTGCAAAGTGCTGCATATGCTGGCCTTGCTCCAGGAAAGCACTTCAACCAGTAATTAATTTTCAACTTGCATGCATAAAATTTAAGTATGTGTTTAAGTGCTCGGCCAGAGCACTTGGTATCTTGCAGGCCTAAGCCGTCTTAGAAATTGTTGGATCTGCTTTTTTTAATATAATTCAGTCTGTCATATAAAAAGATGCCATAATCTTTCCCTCTCTACCCCCACTTTCAGGAGACAAACATTGTTCTTGGATCAAACAAAAAAAAGGCCATTTAGAAAAAAAAGAGCAATTAAGAGGGCTGCCCTGTGTTCAGAGTGCATACTTGTGGTTAATGGGAACTTTTAGTGCTGCTGAGTGGATCACTTAATCCTTTTATTTTTGTAGCTGGCATTTCCTACATTTTTGCCAAACATCAATACCTTTATAAAGCGGTCATCTGTTTTTGATTTATAAAAATGTGTCATGAAACTCCAGCCAAGGAATCCAAAAGTTTTATAAATTGACAAGCTAGCTAGTCTTTAATTAGCGTGAGGAAAAGTCGCTCTTTGTTTGTTTTTGCTTCACTCGGGTAATTTATACGGAGCACCACTGAAGAAGAAAAAGACTTGCACAACTGGTTTTACTTAGCTTAATGCACAGGCAAAATATCCTTCCAGTTATATAACTAGAAAGAGAAAAAAATCTGCAAAGCCACGTATATTATCAGCTGAAATTTGCACCTTATAAACAAGATCTGGTTACCTGATCATGTTGCTCAGATGAAATCCAAGGCCAGCCAAAGCGGCAAGGTGCTCACGTATTTTCTGTGCGCCAGAGTCCTTTGTTGCTTTTTGTAAGCTGTGCTACTTGCATGCTTTGTACACTCAACACAAGGAAAATGTTATTCTCATCCAAATAAGCATCCTTAGATATTTGTTCAGGAAACTTCTTTTTCCAAGGAAAGAGCAGTACTGGAGAAATTGTAGCTCAAATAAACATCCTTAGATATTAGCTCGGGAAACCTTCTCCTTTTTCCAAGGCGATAAAAGCAGGGTAATACTGGACAAATTGTAGCTCATCAATGTAGCCATCCCTCAGATATCTCTGTTCATAATCATTACGATCTGAAGCACAGACTAATATTAATGTGAGCTGCTCGGGATCCCAGACAGAGATCTCAGACAGATTTAACTTACTAATACTTTTGATTTAAAAGTAGTAGTTTAACTAAGACGTAAGTCTTGATATATAACAGCATTTTTGTCTAGGAATATGCAAGGACTCTGCAGAGTTTTTAGAAAACGTACTTTATACTTGGGGACCCTTTTGCTAACTTGCCCTTCACACACCTTTAACTCCTGATTGGATGGATGAGGCAGAATTTGATATATTTGCCATACAGAGAAATACTGAGAGTAGGACTACAGGACTGGAGAATTTTATAGAATATCACGGTTGTGACTCAGCAGACAAAGACCTAACACTGATTGTCTGACAGGCAAGATAAAATATTTTTTGCTCCTCAGTGTGAGGTTTTGGGGAATACACTATTTCTCGGGGTGTTTTGCCTTTGCTGGGATTATTGGATAATGCCCAGGGCGACAGTCACCAGACAGCTCAGCCTCTCAGCTCCTTTCTCTTCCCCTCACGGCTGCCATTCAAATCAAAAACGGGGAATCACTGCAGGGAGCCTGTGGGCTGCTCCAGGGACTTTAAAAACCGATACGTGGAAAGTGCATGTGCCAGCATATAAAATTTAGCATGTATCCCATGTCCGCATGTATCCAGTGGCCACAGCCCCCTCCCCGCAGTCCCTCATGCACAGAGAAAGGCCAAGGGATTTGGTCGGGCTCAGGGGATGCTGGTTACGCACGCTACGGAGAGCAGGCGCGAGTTAATTATTTAGTCTTTGCTGAAAAGAACAAGACAGGGATTTTTAACGTCTCTTTAAAGTGGTTAATCAATGGGTGACCTAAACATCTATTAAAGGAACTTTTCTTTTCTTTTCTTTTCTTTTTTTTTGAATTTCATTATTTCCTATATTTTCTGTCATGCAGGTCCCGAGGGAAGAAGGAGGAGGCTATAATCCTGCTGAGGGATTCCATTAAATACGGCCCAGAGTTCGCAGACGCTTACTCAAGCCTGGCTTCCCTGTTAGCTGAACAGGTAACTGATATTGTCCAAAGCTCACGTTCCTTCTGCACGTGATGCCATCACGTTGCAGTTGCGATTCTCAGCCGAATGCCTGAGAAACGCTCTCACCTCGCACACGTGCACTGATTCTGTGGCTGTCTGGAGAGATTTTTTGGGCTGCTTTAGAGCTGACTTTTCCAGTATAGGAGGTAACTCATTCTCGGTGAGTAATGACACCCACCTGATGTGGCTTTGAATTAAATTGCTATTAAAATTGTGAGTAAATATCTTTTTTGCAGCTCGCCATGTCTTTAGCAAAGGCTTGATCCATTATTATAGCGCGCCTAGAGTATTTTGACAGCAGAATAGATGAGCCCTTCCCCCCCCACAAACGCACAAATAACATTTAGATTTTATAATAAAACACTCCAAAGTTAGGAAATGTCAGAAATAAGGTTGCCTCTGCAGCCTGGATTCAGCCCTTTGCATATATGCATTAGGATACAATTACGCTAACTATGCTGGTAGATGCTCACGTACTGGGAGTGGGAAGGTTCACTTGCTTTATGTTGCTCTTAATGAGCAGCTGTTCGATATTTTATTTAACTTCATTGTTCAATATGTGGCCCCAGGCCTTATTTACTGCGCACCGTCCAGACTGTACTCTGGAAGCAGGATTACTCATTTCCTCTAGGGCTTTTTCACCATGCTTATTATTCCAGTCTCTTAATACTCTCTGTACATTATGTAATTTATTTCTTCAGGATCCCTGTGAGGTGAACTATTGCTGTCCCCATTGAAGAAAAGGGAAATGGAGGCACCAAATGCTTGAGTTCAAAAGAAGCCGTGGAGTGTGGGTGCGCACGTGGAGACCGCTAGGGCTTGGTTTTCCTCAAGCATGCAGCAGCGGCCGAAGGGGGCTGTGCTTCCGGCATTGCTCCCACGGACTTCAGCTGCATCTTGCTCTGGGCCTCAGGGAATATCATCTTTCATTATTTTCCACTAGTCTCGTTAACAGAATTGGCTGGAACCTTCTCTCCAAAAAAGGAGATGGATAATTTTTGGCAAAATTATAAGCAAGGGTCTTATTCTGGCTTCTTTAATGATACAGGCACTCCACAAAATCCACCTTTGATAAATATGGAATACTGAAAGATGTCGTGCTATTTTCTTCTCCCTTTTAAGTGACTTTCAAATATTATCAGATATACAGCTGCAGAGACCTGGAAATATAGTGTATGAATTGAAAGAACCTCGTTGAATGGGGTCTGTGATTTGAATCAGCCCTTTAATGAAGTCTCCTGCAAGTATAGGAAATGAGTTCTGCACAGTAATACCTGGTTTTAATACTAATTGAATTAATTAATTAGAACCATTGGTCATAAGGTCAACAGAGCAATAAAAACATTATAGAGTCCCAAGGCCGTCTGCCCAAAGCAAATGTCTTCAGTAAGTCCAGCAGTAATTCACCTACTCTTACGTATAGTTTGTTCATCCTCTTGTGGCTTGAGTAAGTGGAAGGGAAAAAAAGATAGTTCGTACAGTTTCCTCAGAAAATAACGATTTCCTGCAGGCTTTTAACACCTTCTCAAGTTCAGCCATAGCAGATGACTACGTTGATTGTGTCCTTGCCCAGCCATCCTAGTGACCGCAGTCAGAGCCATCCGGCAGTACATGCTGCTCGCTGTGGCTGAGGGAATCACTCCCTGTCGCTGTGCAGTTCCTGGAGGGGTACGGGCAGAGATTTTGGCAGCTCCAGCCCAAAGGGTGATATATGTGCCAGAAGAGAGAAACGGGATCCTGTTTTTCCGTTTGAGGTTTCCCTCCTTGCCTGAGCAATAGTTTCCGAAAGGGCTAAAAGTTACAAAGCTGTTTTTCTTTCTGCTTGTAGCCCAGAGTTCTTCTCACACCTCTTCAGCTATCACTTGATGCCAGGCAGCATGCACAAAGTTATCCCAGTGGGCTGCATTCACAGACTCGCTGCATAGCTTTGAGGAAGGGAGTATGAATTCCCTCTTTCGGGGACATGAGAGAAAAGGGGCTGACGTGCTACAAGTTGCATATTTAAATAACTCTCATGAAGGGACCATGCTTGTGACAAACTCCTGTTCCTCTAGCTGTGTGCTAAGGCTAAGAAGGGAGGAAGCAGGTGGAAGTGACATGCTGAAATAGTGTCCTGATTGCCTTGGTTGGTCCTGCACGGTGTGTTCCCCCGTAATTTAAAGGCTGTGAGTCTGAAATCGGGCTTACGGTTCCTTTCCTTCTGTGGCTGTGAAAAATGCTCTTAGGAGGAATGCCTCATGCTCCAGGGAGTTAGGCTGTAACTCAGTGTAATTGCCCTTTTCTCTCTTTGGTAGTTGATTCTGAAACAAGAACAGACTCGGGGAAAAAAAGAAAGAACACATTGTATAAAACAGTTTGCCTTTTCTGTGCCTTTTGTAAGTGCTTGTCCTTCTTACAGCTTTCTCTACTTGATCTCATAACTGAGTCACAGTGTGGTGTTGTAGTCCATGACAGTCTGTTGCCGTTTCAGTGCTGCTAATATCAGAAATCAAACATTTTTGTTTGCCAGTTTCACGCTGCTGTAACAACACTGGTTCCCTTGGCTTTACTCAGGCCCTCTTGAGTACACCTTCTTGCCTGCTTTTGAGGTTTCATCAGCCAGCTCAAGCTACCTGATGGCTTTTTCAAGCTCTAGCTTCCGGAATCAAGTGTTGGGGTTTTTTTTGCTTTTTGTTTTTGGTAAGAATATTAGCATACCCTAAGAAAAAGAAACTCTTTAACCTAGCTGCAGAGGAAGCCCTACAGATGTGACTCAGACATACGGAGACTGAAAAACAGCCCCAAAAGAGCCCTAGACTTCAAAACCCGGGATTTCAACTGAGAGATCCTCAAATGCATAATTTTCTTAAAATCATAGAAATCTCATACATTTTTCAAGGCAGCCTTCTGAGTTTTGTGAGCTTGATGAATGTTTCATAAAGGTCTGGGAGTGGAATTGTTAAGTGTTAATGAGAATCAAGCCTTGGTTATCTTATTGCATTTCTCCTAAGGGCCAAGGGATAGGCTGCAAGGGAGAAGGCTCTGGCACACCCTTCTTAACTTCTGGCTGGACTTAATAGAAATACTTGGTTAGAGAAATCGTTCCAGACTCTGCATTGAGCCTTCTGCATGCGAGGCCAGGATGTTAGATGCCAAAAAAAAAAAGGGTTTTACGAATGCACGTGCAGTGCAACAATGATAAAAGTGCACATAATGCTAAGTGCCAGTGAGTGTAAATACTTTGAGTTGGGACACTGCTAATCTAGTGTAACAGAGCACTTCCTTGTTTTGAAGATAGGATTTAGGATCAGTAAATTAAATGCAGAAAACTTGCATATATGCATGCAAAGCCACATACCGCTGCTGAAAATTAAAATTAGAGGAAAAGAAGTCAATACAGAAATCTCTGAAAATATACCTGTTAATGTCTCTCTGACATAGATATTTTGTGAGAAAGCTGCTCATCATTTTAGTCACTTCTAATGACTGCTACACTTTCCTGACCCCACAGACTCATGATGTTAAATCCATATAAATTTATCCAAAATGTCCAAACTTAGGCACTTCTTTAAAATATGTTTCTGTGTTTTATCACACACTATCTTTTCTGCTGGCTGACCTTTATCATGTACATGTGAAAGCATTTAACTGTGACAAACCATTTGCTTTTATCAAGTCATAGTCTTCAAATGCTATTAATTCCAGCTTTCAAGTTCTGAAATAGGAGGTGGGAAAGGAGTCCACGCGTTTAAACAACTACAGACCACATGCCACTGTCAGGTACAATCTTTAAATCCAGAGAGAGCCCAGTATGCTCTGAGATTTGCAGGTTTTGAGGAGAGGAGAATTCAGAGCTGGGATAAACAGCAGAAGCAGGTCCGTTTCCCACAGAGAATTAACAAAGTCGTCTGAGAAAAATATTTTTTCGGGGACTGCCTTGACTGCTAGAAGTGGTCTTTGTCTCACTTTGGTGTGTGGGGACGTCTGAGAGGACACTGTCCCCACAAAGCCCACCTCCTTGGCAGGTGCCAGTGGCAAGGTGCAGCAGGTCACTGGGAGCCCTGGTAGGGTGGTACGTTAGTGGACCTATCTCTCGTTTCAGTATGGTTTCAGCTCCCAACTGCGAGATTTCTCTGGGTGTCTCCAAGCCCACCTCAGCGGGCGTTTTGCCTGGGGCTTCAGGAAGAAGCTGTGGGGGTTGTCCTCATGAGGATCTTCCAGCCAACCTGGGTGGACCAATCGAGAAAAGAGCCTTGCTGCTGGAGGTTTAACCCTCTGCACCCTCCTTGCTTCCACTGTAAAAAGCCTTCCCCCCATAAATAACACCGCAATAGCAAAGCTCTGAGATTGAGGGGAAAAAAAAATGCAATAACTGTGGTGTTAGTGAGCATGCAGGCAGCTGGCACGTACTGTCTGGCTAGAGGGAAATGAAAACCTTATTTGGTTGCTGCTTGATCTGAACTAGACACCTTATTTTCATTTCGGGACCTGGATGCCCATGCACGTAGCACAGACTAGACCGAGCACAGTCCATAGGATGCTTATTTGGGCAAGATGGTCCCCCCAGAAGATCTATATTTTCCAGAAACACTCGGCGCCATCAAACCTCATTGAAATCTGTGCAAAATGAAAAGGCTCATAGTCTTTCACATCTGAAAATCAGGCCAACTGTAGATCCCAGTGATCTACATCTCACACATTGACAAAAGCTGCTTTTAATCTGAATCTGTCTTATTTGCCCCTCTCCCTCTTTGCCCCCAGTCTTCCTCCTTCTTCCCCCACTCCCCTGCACTAGCTCTCTCCATCCCCCAGCTGTCACGCACTCCAAGCTTTTGTTCGTCATGTTTTTCCTGCTGCTTAGGGAACCAAAAGCAGAGCTCCTGAAGGGAAAAGCTAGCCAGCAAGATGCTCATTAAACAAATAAATGAAAATATATCATCCCCCAAATAACAGATATTTCTTAACCCTGTCACTGTGCATTTTCTGGCTGGGTGTGTGCCTGGCTGAGCCTCTCTGACATTACGCACAAGCCACTGAAGCTCTTAAAAAGCAACCTTTTCCATCTGCTATTATTGTTTTACAGATAGCTCCAACTGCAAATGTATGGGGAAAAATTGTCTGGTGTGGGGTACCAGAGAGCAGATTCTGATCTTTTAATTGCATCCAGGACGTGGTGTGCAATTTTGGCCTCCTCAAGGCAGTGGCTACTGCCAGGTTCACCCGAGGAGCTGTAAGCACCCAGTCTAGTGCTGGGGAGAGAAGAGGATTTGCAGTGATTCAACCTAGGCAGTGTCCAGACTGCCCTCAGGAATTACCTCTCTCCCCCGAGAGCTATAGGGCAGCCTGGGACCCCCAACTTCAACACCTTGGCTAGTCCCTGCGGCTCGGTGGGGTGGGCCAATGCCCTGAACTCCCCATGCAGTGAGGGAGGAAGGTGGCCCCTGCAGTATAGTACCGTAAGTGGGTATTTTCATGAAGTGCAGGTATGTGGCTGATGATGCTGACACTGTTTCTGCCACAGCTAAGATATCTCCTTCTGTTTTAAGGAACGACTTAAAGAAGCAGAGGAGGTTTATAAGGCCGGCATAGAGAATTGTCCAGAGAGCTCCGATCTGCATAACAACTACGGTGTTTTCTTAGTTGATACTGGTAAGTGAGATGGAGCAAGGGATTTTCTCTCTCTGACTTATTTGCTTTGATGTGTTTTATTTAATAGTACATTTTTAAAAGATCGTCAAGAAATTCCAGAGCAGTGGATATGCTTCTACCATAGCTTAGAAATAAATATCTCTGCTCTGCTGAGATGGCACAGTATACTGAAATGTGCAGTCAAAGCAGTGACTGTATGGCAGTGTCATCCAGCCTGTGTTTCCTACAGTATTTCTCACCCTATTAACACAGGCAGTTGCCTTCTTTAATTTGAGCTAGGCAGCATCCCGACAACGCTGCCATTTCTCCAGGAAAGCACGGCCACATAAAACAAAATCCCAGACACGCAAATGCATCATTATGGTCTTTGGGGCGCTTGCTGCTCTACTTGGTGACAAAGCAGCTCTTTGCCTATGAAGGCTAAGTGTCACTGCTGTAAAACAAACATGGCTTTTAAGCCAAGATCATCCATGAAAACAAAACGTAAGATCCTATGGGATGAATTGATTTCTCAGGAACTCCATAGTGAAATACAAAGCCTTTCTCTTCTGGGCTATTGATTCCCATCCAACTTCCAAGGACTCAGGCACTTCCTGGCATTCACATAATAAAAAAGCCCACCACTGTAATTGCCACCTTTTGTTGACAGCTTTATAAGCAAGTCCAAGTCTGAACTGAGAAACTAGTAGAAACTGCTCCTTTACCCACGTCCCTCCGGAACAGAGCTGAAAGTCACTAATGACGTATTGCAGGCTTAATGAGTGCAGTTGCTACCAATTCTGCCCCTTTCATACCATGTCAGGCTCTGGTAATGCTAGGGAAGGAAGGCCAGTGGCAAAGAGCAGTGTCCATCCTTCTGTAGGCAGCAGTCCTACCTTCGAGTTGATGCTCAGCTATCATGCTTCTTTGATATCAGTGTGAAATAAATGAGTATGAGTGTTTGTGATCAAAATAGGAAACATGGCATTAATGACAGAGGCAGAGATTCTAAGTTTTTGTCCTGCCAAAATTCAAACGTTTAAAATAATAAAAATTTGTCAGTAATTCCACTCTGACATTATGCTCCTCTCTGCTTCCCAACTCAGCTAAAATGCTCTCTCTATTCCTGCCAAAATTATTTATTCCAATAAAGTGTATTCCACCTTCCTTTTGCACTTGTATATTCTGCCAAAGTAAAAACTGTTTTTTTCCATTTTATTTCTACATTTCCCTACATACAAGCAATTAAAAAACCCTGAATTTTGATACTTTAGGCATGATCTGTAAATAATCCTTCTGAAGACAAGATGAAGTGTGAAGGAAGTAGCTTGCCTGGGAGTCCTGGGCTTCAGTGGTGGGGCTAGAGGGAATCACCGTGAAGCACTACTCCAGTTCAGTTGCAGGATTTTGTGCAGCAAGCCTCAAGCTGACATCAGCTCTGGGGAGCCGTACCTCTAGCTAACTCTGCAGTGCAAGTAGACACTCAGTGTGCCTCCCTTAATGACATACGTTACCCGCATGCATTTAACAGCGTAGGCATTGGCTGACCTTAAGGACTTAGGTGTATGCCCAGCTGCTTCCCAGCATGTTTTGTAGATGTGATTTTCAAAAACATCTGTCTGCTCAGCAGCAGGAGCAGAATGGGGCTGCTGCTGGATATTTAAAAAAATTCTACCCTGGATGACCTGTTGTTGGCCTTTGATGAATCGTAAGTGCTTCTGAGTCTCCCAACAGACTACTCTCTTCTCTCCTTTAAAGGAAAGACTGAGAAATGTTAATATTACTGTTATGTTGCATAGATAATCTCAAGAAAAATCAAACTAAATCTGAAATGCTACAAAAATAGAAATTCAGCAACATATGTTCAATGCTCCAGCAAGTGCGGGCCTTTTTCAAGTTCTTTATTCCAGGTAGAAATGGAATTAAATACACTGTAAATTGATTTGACTTAAAAAATACCAATACTGTAAGGCTTTGCTGGTGGACAAAGCTCTGTGAGTGTCAGTTTTCACCAGAAATATCTGGTCTAAAGTATGCAGACTAGTTAAATGATCATTGTGGCTAAAAATGGGATGTTCACATTGCTGAAATGTCGGGACTTTTAACTGTGCCCCATTAATGTATTTTGTAGTTAGTATGCAGGCTGTGCCTGAAGAAAGCACTGCAAGGTCTTTCAGGAGGAAAGCCGTTATTTAGATAAATAAAAATATACTTTTAAAAGTAGAACTGAAGGCCTCTGGCATAATGGTCTGGCACCTTTCTTCAATTCAAATTGAACGCTGGCATTTCCTAAAAATATGAGCCACTGTTATTGCAGGCTTTCGAGGTCATTTGCAGTGCCGTATTTTGTTGTGGTGTTTGGTGATGTCATGGGTTGTAGAACCTTGCACAGGTAGATGTTTTCTTACAGTGGAGCAGTGCCACCCAATGGCTCCTCTGAAACATGGAGATGGTGCCTGTATGCTCCAAAATAGGCATCCTGGGCACCTGCTGTCCTGGATTTATTGCACCAAGGCGGGAATTAGCTGGCTACTGGCACCTACTCCCATTCTTTTTGAGCCATGCGCAGAGGTTGAGTAAAGCCAAACGCAAAAGAGGTATAGAGAATATTTTCTGTTTTGATACAGCTGAAACTGTTTGCAGCTCTGATCGGGTTATAGGGTGTACCTGGCAGCTTGTTCTCTTGTGTCCCTTATGCACTCCCAAACGGGAGGTAGGCCAGTGTGGGAGAGACCCCCTTGCACCCAGGTAGAAGGGTACTCTCCTGGGAGGTGGGATCAATGACTTGATGACTTGGCAAATGGTTTACTGTACAGCAGCAGCAGGGCAGACTGCGAGATACTCACCCCATCGTACCCTGCAACCAGCTGGGCAGCTGTTCCCTGCAGGGTGTGTTCCTGGGAGATTCTGGAGTAGGCTCTGTCCTTACACGGGGGTACCCTCCCTGTGGGGTGTGGTAGGAGGAACGCTTTTGGTCTGGCGTCATCTTCTGGTGACTCTGTCCATGAAGTGCAAAGACCTACGTGAAGTAAATCTATTTCTCAGGATTGTCTTTGAATATCGGCCCCTAAATCGTTATTTGAACAGTGGCTTTTGCTTATGCTTAATCTCTAGAAAGACTGAGGCAGGATTTCCTGTCAGAATGGTTCCCAAGCATACAGCAATAGCTGAAAGAAAACCCGAAGCATTACTGCATGCTCAAGTTGCTAGATGATTTTCTTGAGGCATCAGCTTAACAGCTGTTTTCCTGTCCAGGGGCTCCGGAGAGGGCTGTGTCGCACTACAGACAGGCCATCCGTCTGAGCCCAACTCACCATGTTGCCATGGTGAACCTGGGCAGGCTTTACCGCTCTTTGGGTCAGAACAAAGAGGCTGAAGCATGGTACAAAAGGTAAGAATTTGAGCTGAGAGACGGATGTTACCCCTACCCCCGGTACAGTGTCTCCTTGCTAAAGGGCCTCGTTAAAGAGTTCGGTGTCATTTCAATCTGTCAGTGTAGCGTTTGCATTTTTTTTCTCCCCTTCTCCATCCATTTGAAATCAGGTGTGCCTTTGCTTACTAGACTATTTAATGGGAGTGCTTCGTGGGTAAGCACTGACTCAGTGTTGACTTCTCTGGACTGTTCCCAAGCTACCATGATGCACACTGCTGCTTTCGGCCGGGGAATTCAGGCCCTTCCCAGCCACGTGCTAGTAAGCAGACTTTGCCTGCCGGTATAAAACAGGCTGGACTATTCTTTTTCCTCCTTTTTTGGCATCCTGATTTGTGCTTGCACTCCCCTGGCTGTGCCACTGTCAGCCTTCTCCACCCCTGTTGCTTGTTTGCACGCACATACTTTGGAGGTGATCCTCTCTCCTCCTCAGGTTGCCCTCATCGCTTTGCAAGGACTTCAGATTGTGCTTCCTGGGGTGGGACCATGCCATGCAGAGTAGCTTTGCTACTCTGTCCCAGGGCAAATCACAGCCTGCTCTTTCGCTTTGATCCCCAAATTACCTGGAAACATCTCTTTTTCCCAACATTCAGGGCACTGAAGGTATCCCGGAAAGCTGAAATCCTCTCCCCACTTGGGGCTCTATATTACAACACTGGGAGGTATGAAGAAGCTTTGCAGGTTTACAGAGAAGCCGTGTCACTGCAGCCTTCCAATAAAGAAATCCGACTGGCACTGGTGAGTGTAGGACCAGCATGGTCAGGACAGAGCCATGACACACTATCACTATGGAAAGGGATGTCCGTGTTAGTGTGAAAATTATCCAAGGCTGAAGCCCCGCAGAGAGACCAGACAGAGCTTGGCTATATATCCAGGCTGACCATCAAGCAAATCTCTCTTCTTCTTTGCTCCTCACACCGTCCCGACCTCAGACCCTGTGTCTCAGCCACCACCTTTCCAGTTGAGCAGGACCCGTCACAGATAAAATCTGACCTGCTCCTTGCTCACTAGGCTTTCAGGCTTTCCTTGATGAACAGTTGCCTCTTAGCACTGCCACCCCTGCCTTGCCACAAAGCAAGAGGCCAGGACCGTTCACTGGGTAGAAGCTTGTATATTAAAGAGGGCTGAGTCTTTAAAAATCATAACCGTTCATAATGTGGATCCCTAGGCCCAGGTTTTAGCAATGATGGGGCGGACAAAGGAAGCTGAAAAGATGACAAACCATATTCTCTACGAAGATGCAGAGTGTCTGGAGTGCTACCGCCTTCTATCAGCAATCTACAGCAAGCAGGAGCACTATGCTAAGGTACAGAGATCTCCGTGTGCTGGTGTCCCAGGGGCTCACACACAGAGCTCACGTTGAATTTTATGCTCTGCCTCTCCAGAGTCATGTCACATGCCTTAGCACACATGCATTAGGCTTAGTTTATTTTTACTAAACCCTTCTGTTTACCTCGGTAATGGGACTAAAGATAAGCAACGTGATTTTCAAGGCTTGTGAGCCTTTACTGCTCCTACCACTGTCAGCGCCATCACACATCAGCCAAAAGCATCCAAAATTCTTATTTCCAAATGTGATAACAGCGTAGGGCGAATGAGGGAAGGGGTTGATGACTTGTTGCTTTGGCTCCTGTGCTGGGAGACTCCGGTGGTGGGGTGAGCATGAGAAGGTGGAAGGAGCAGAATACAGTAATAAAATGCCCTCTTGCTTTTTCACAGGCACTTGAAGTTATAGACAAAGCTCTTCAGCTAAAACCAAAGGATCCAAAAGTCATATCAGAGCTCTTTTTCACTAAAGGAAACCAGCTAAGAGAACAGAATCTCCTTGATAAGGCTTTTGAGGTATGACTGCTCTAAGCCCAATAGGTAGATTTATAGGTTAAAGAATGGAGTTAACTCATTGCAGCTGATACTCCATGCTGCATGCACCATGGGTATTGACCTTGGGAGCTCATCGGTTCACCAGTGGTACAGCTAAAGCTATGGAATAGTGATGTCTTTGTCAGAGTTAGTTACAACTGTTTTTCTCATTAGAGGACCGGTTTCTACCCCTAAACCTCTGCCTTGTTTATTAATGTGTGCCTTGCAAATAAGGAGCATCTCAGCCCACACACTGTTTGTGGGAGACAGGCACTTGCTGGTGGGAATGACCTTGCGTGCAGGACACCTCTGTGGTGCAGGGCAGTGGGGAGAGGGTCGCAGGTGTGGTGTGGTTCCTCATGTGATGCTGTGGGCATAGCAAAACCTGTGAGATGAACTCAGTGGGGGAAAAGTATAATCTGTCATCTCTCCTAAAAAAGACTGAAAGTCAGCATGCGTATTGTATATAAGAGGAATTTGAAACTATATTTTAAGTAGATTCGAGGAGGGGAATCTTAGTCTCTTTCCCCTCTCTTAGCTGGTTTTGACTGAAGATTCAGACTTCTAACCTAAAAATGTTCCATATTTATTTAGAGCTATAAACGGGCTGTGGAGCTCAACCCAGACCAAGCACAAGCCTGGATGAACATGGGAGGCATTGAACACATCAAGGTTTGAAAATTTTGCTTTTCCTTAAGCTATCAACTGCAGGGACCACTACTCAGGACAGAAAGCTAAACTTACCTTAGACTGCCAAGAGCTACATATTTGTGGGCAGTAGGTGACCGTGGCCTATTTTGTCCAAAGAGGAAGAAAGTCTATTCCAGCTCCAGCCAGAATTTTCCTACCAGGTGGCTTGGGAATATGTATCCTGTAGTTTAAATCTACATTTTAAGAGGACAAGCAGCCTGTCCATCTCCAAAATTTTCTGGCTTGGATTGTTGACCTGCCTTAAAGAAATGTCACCATGAGTTAACTTTTAAGATTCCTCTTTACCCAGTTCATTTAATGAAGATGTCTGATGTGGAATACTGACATGACATTATGGAAATACTTTAGCATATCACTGTGATTTAGGTCTTGAGTCACAGTGTGTGATCTCACCAAGCTATCCTATCTATGAGTAAAGTTAACTACTTCTTGCCTTGGGTGTTTGATCTAATTTAGGCTAACACCAGTAGGTGATCCATTTCCTAAAGAAGTGGTGCTTCTGTTAACAAATAATTTTGAGTTCTATAAATGCTTTTTCCTTTGTGTTATGGTGTTCACCGTTCCCAAGCAATGAACCTTTTTATGTCAGGGAATGTGAATGACATCTATCACTCTTTTTCTTCATAGGGGAACTACATCACTGCCCGTGGCTACTATGAGAAAGCTTTACAACTTGTTCCAAACAGCAAATTGCTAAAGGAGAATCTGGCCAAATTGGATCGATTAGAGAAGAGGTTACAGGAAGTCCAGGAGAAAGACCAGACATAGCATTCAGTCACCAGTGGAAAGAAACTCATGCCCCTTGGAAAAGAGTATGGTGGAAGCTTATTGCTAGAAGTGACACCGAATGAACTTTGATATGACTCAGAATTATGGAAGGCAAATTTTGGGTGCGTGCTTGTTTGACCAAAGTTACAGAAGACACTCAGCTCATGAGGAACGTGCTGGAGAACGAATGAAAACCTTCCTGTAATCAAGTTTCCTATTTAGGTTGACCCCACCTTAATCACACAAGTAGTGTGGGTGGAACATGTAGCTTCAATATCCTGGTTATCGCTGGGGAAGCTGTGGAGACGCTCATCCGTTGCCGTGGGAGTGAGGGAGCACCTCTTGTTACTCAACATGGACTCACTTAATCCGCATAAAGTACCACTAATGGGCTTTATGGCAAGTGCTGCCAGGTCCTTCTAAGCAAGGAAGATGGACATAATGGTTATATAAAAGGGTTTCAAGGGGTTAATGCTGAGGAAATGGTGGCTTTTACAGCTCTAAATGTGACTTGAAAGTGATCCTAAAGAAAGGGAAAATAGTGTCTGAATATCACCCTAGGAGGATGGGTCTACAATTAGGACAAATGATCCTTCGAGGGAAAACCGCAGCTGAATGTTTTACTCATAAGATAGTCATTTTGTAATAATTCAGGTTCACGATATCAGTATGGTCAAATATCATATGGCTTTACCCTTTGCCCTCTCCCTCCAATAATTATAACTCTGAAAAAACTGGAAGCATCCAAAAGCAATGTGAAGCTCTAGAATTACTTGTCCTCTTGTCCAGTCCCCAGTAGAAAACAAATAAGCAAACAAACAAACAAGCAGACAAAACCAACTGATCTGATCAACATAGGAGGTGAAGTAAAGCCACAGAGAGATTAGAGACGATTTGGTAGGCTGGAAAGGTACTAAGGAGGCTTTTTATGGGTGTGCAGGGACAAAGCCCGTTTATTATGATGATAATCATAATAAATCACACTGAGAGAACGCATTGTCAAAGTGTTCTCACCTCCTCCTCCAAGGGATGCAGAAGCTGATCAGTCTTAAATCTATATTTTTAAATACTGAAGTGGGGAAATGAGTTCTCTTCAGAATTGAGGCTTTTATTTTTGAGCTTTATTTATTTAACTTATAATCAAATAATTAATATATTTTCTCTGTTTTATAAGAATTGGGCAGTGTCCTTCACAGCTGGCCTCACGGCTGGGCATTGTGACTCGTGTTGTCTGAAGTTAGAAAATGCAGCACCGCCGAGGCATGCTTGAGTAATTTGCCCTGATGGTATTTTTAAGCATATGGCTGTAAAGCACATTGGACCAAACTGTCATTGCAATAATAGCAAACAGAGTTTGCATCAGTTCAGCACAGAAAGCCTGAAGGGTTGGTGGGGTAGTGCTAGGTGCCACTGCCTGTTGGCATGGACAGCTGGGTAGGTCATCGGCTTGTTCCTCTTGTAGCAGGAAACTGCCACAAAGCTTGTTGTATTTGAGCTTAATTGTGCCTAGCCTCAGCAGAAGAGCAGCCTAAGCTTTGGTACTTTTAGTTAGGCAGAGTTCAGATTAGGACTGTGCTGCCTTGATACACATCCTTGGGGAAAGGCTCATGCGGCGGTGGCCCTCGCAACACCTGGGCTTAGCCAGTGCTGACCAGGTGTCCTCTCCACGAGCACCAAGTTCACTCCGTGGGGGGAGACAGCTGTGTGCTGGTGGCTGTTCTGGCCTTGTCGGAACAGCTTGGCCCAGGAGACCAGCCCCTGCCCGGAGGGCAGCTCATGAGGTCAATGGGAGGGAGAGGATGGTCAGAGGAGGAGGACTGGTGCAGACACACTTTCGTGGGCTTTCCCCCTTCAAATCAACTTCCTTAGTCTCAAGAGAGAGAGCAGCTGGGACCGCGACCGTGCAAGTTTTTAGCTAGCAAATCTTCCTCTCTCACCCCGGGCCCAGCAGCCTACTTTTCTTTCCAGGGCCAAGGGCTTGGGGCTGGGTCAGCACCATTTTGTCGCACAGCTTTTATGGCTGTAGACCTATTGACTGGGTGTAAATGCAGAGGCCTAGAGCAAGCGCTCTGCTGGGTCCTTCCCATGGAGTAGCCCTCAGGTGTCTGGCATTGCACCACCGGGGCATTACCAAAGGGGCTGGGAGGAGATGGGGCGACAGTCCTGGAGCTGGTAGCCACGCTAGCAAAGCCCCATGGGGTGCAGCGTGGGGAAACCAAAGTTTAAACGGCCTCTGAGAGCTGCCAGTTCCCCCGTGGGCATTGCATGATTGTATGCAGTTCATAATGGATGTATTTAAAGGTGTCCAGGCTGTGCTGAACTGCAGGAAAAGTTAGCTGGTTCCTACCTGGGCACCACAGGTTCCCCGTCAGGGTCTGTCCATGATAGTAGACAGTAGAAAGGGCATCGTATTCACATAGAGCTCGCTGCCTTTTGCCAAGGAAAGCCTATCTTCCTGGCACCACCACCAAGGCTAACCCCAGCCTACGATACTGCTGCGTGATGGCGAGTCTGGCGGTGGCAGAGCTGCGTTTGATGAAGACCCTGACAGTGTCATTGTCCCCCACATATGGAGCATATTCAGAGAGCATGCCAACACTTAGCCAAAGGGGAGGGCAATGGCTCATTTAAAAAGGTGTATGAGCTGTAAACTTAGTCTCAAAAAGGCACGTTAAATAAAGACTATGTATTCTACAAGCCACACACTAGTATGGCTTTAAATTGTGGCCAATGAAACATATTTTTTCAAATATAAGAGAAGGGATATTTTTATAGCAGAGCTTTGGGAGGGAGATGAGTTGGTTTTGTGTTTTCAATTTTGGCATAAAGCGGAGTTTGTCTTTCCTGATCTCATTCTTGTCCTAGAATTGGGTCAAAGCTACCTTGACCTCCTAAAACTGATGCATGTATACAGGTATAATATAGCTTTTGGGTGTCCCTCTGAGCTCCTGGAAAAGAATTACCTTTTTTGCCAGGGTAGCTTACCTGCAGAATAATATAGGGAGACCATCCTTCCAGTGAGGGAGGCAGCGTGGCTGGCAGGCATGTCATTATGTTCACCCAGAATTAGACAGGCAACATATCCATATAGTTTAATCCTCAACTGCATTATGTTTATATGCTGAAAGGTTGAGTCTCCACATCTGTGAGCTGAGTTTGTGGTAGTTGTGGGGAGAGGAGAGGTCATTAATGAACCCCACGTTCCTAAACCAGCACTTTATAGCCCACGTCTATGCAGGATGGCAGTCTGCAGACTGGCGGAGTATTTGGAGAATGACTCAGGGCACAAACTACCAAAGCAGTTAAACCCTTGTGAAGATTTGAGCTCACTCCCTGTCTCATTGGCTTCTGTGCTAAAATCCTGTGTTTGTCCAGGACATCAGTCTTGTGAAAGGTTTACTGTAGGTGAAGAACAACGGACTATAATATGAAATGGGTTACCTCCACCAAAAGAGAATGCCTATTGTGAAGATAAATAGAGTGAGTTACCTTGTGATAAACTGGATATTATCCTAATTAATCATAGGAAATGTTCTCTTGCTTTTGCATTACACAGTTCATCAAATAACAAATTCTAAATACATTGGTTTCTGCCAAAGGCATGGTGCTCATGCCTGGTTAGCAGAGATTACAAATTAATAAATGGCTGACGCTCTACATAGTGGTGGTGGGGTTCATTCTGTGTCCAAGCAGCATTGGCTAAACCTCAGCGCTTGTATGAATGCTCACCAGTATTAAAGTGGAGAATTAACTCAAGGCTGGTTAGACAGGAATCTTGTGTAATCACTATGCATTTCAGTCATAAAGGAAAAACAAAATAACTGTGTTGCTTTTTCCCTTCCCTATGAATAATATTTTCAGCTGATGTATTTGGTTTTATTTTCTTGCTTATTTAAAAAGTCCAGCATTCTTTGCTTCCATTCCTTTTCCATCCCTCAAGGTAAATGATGGAAGGGGAGACATTTTATATCTCTCATAGATTGTTTGCACTAGATTTTCTAAAAATGACCAAGCAGTGAGTACATGCAGCAGTGAAAATGGTCTTTATTCCAAAGATCTGAATGAAGATGGGGAGGGGGGTGTGTGTATGTGTGTGCGTGCACATGGGTGTGTATGCACGCTAAGTGATCCAAAGTACAGAGCCTAACTTGCAGGGGAGGCTGGATGTACCTGGAACTATCTGAAACTCGCAAAAGCTTCTCAACACGTATGGAAAGCAGGCCAAATATGGTGTACGCTATTTGATGAAAGAAGAAAATTATCTAATTACTAATTAGATTACTAAGTAGCACAATTTATGAGAATATAATTGTATGATCTTTTTTCCCACTTGTCCTCCAACTCAGTGAAGCAATTGGCATGTACTTAAGTCTCCTCAAACTATATGTGCATTAAATTGACCAAGTGTTCAATTTCTATTTTTCACATATGAAATTATGTACAATCTTTGGAAAAATCTAACCCTTAAAGCTTTTTCCCCCCCAACATTCAGTCTCTCGCACCAATTTTAAAATGTCTCATTTTGCTTTCATGTACATTTAAACCCAGCAGCAAAAAATAGAAAAAAAAAAAAAAGAAAAATGTGCTTGGCATTCACTAGTGTTTCAATGTGGCAAAGTTGTGTCAGATAATCTTGATAACTTTGTGCAAAAGTTCATTGCCATGATTGTACTGACTTGCTGAAAATTCTTTTCTGGGAAATAGCCCCAATGGTATCCTCTGTAAAAGTTATGGCTTCTACAACTATATTACGGTAGAAATCTCTGCCTGAAGTGGATGTCATGCTGCGTGTTCCTGTCACATGGGAGTTGTTTGCATTGGCTGTTGTTCATATGGTTCTTATTTCTGTATCTAATTTTTTTAATCAGTTGTGCACATCTTTTTAAAAACAAGAAAACAGCCCATGGATTTGAAATCTTTCAAAAATAAATTCACACTTAGCAGCAGCTGGATGTATGTCAGTGGTAAAGGAATTTTCAAAGTCTTTGCTTTTTCACTGTGGGATTTATGGATAGATTTCATGTAAAGGAGTTATGCTCAAAGTCTTTGCAAAAGAAAACGTATGTAAATGTCTATTTTATATAAAAAGTAAGAAAAGTAACTGATGTGTCTGGTTTTGTTCTGTTGGCTACGAGGTTAGTCTGTTCCTTAGGACCAGTCATGAATAGATGCTTCTAGAGATGAGAAGAGTCTAAGATTCTTACTCCAGTTGACTTACGTTTTACTGCCCGAGGAGTTCAAATGATTGCTCACATAGGAGCAACTATGCAGTACATGTTTTGGAGTTTGGCCATATAAAAGATAATAGAGTAAGCATTTGTTTGGAGCCTGAGCATGAGAAAGGCTGAGGGCTGGTGCTTACATGTTGTCTTGAGGATTTGGACATGTTATACTGTTATGAGTTCTTCATGTCAGGGTTTACACATCTATAGGAAGTGCATCGAACAAACTTCAGTCTTCTGAGTGTAAAGAGAAGAGAATGGAAAAGAAAAAGAAATTCATTTTGTTCTAATTCCCTCCTTCAGATTGTTGGTTCTTCCAGGACTTGTCCTGGCAGATGTTCCCAGATACTTCTGCATGCTCCCAGGACTTCAGATAATTGATAGTGGTAGACATATCTGCTAAAAATGGACCTGGAAGAAAGTCAAAACACAAGCCATAGTGTTTTCTGCCATCTTGGTGTGTGCATAACCCTTTGTAGCATAAATGGGAATTGCATGCTTGCTTTGAAGTCGGTATCTATACCCTAGTGTCCTCCACGGTCTAAACGGTACAGGATTTCTTAACCTGTTTTCTAACCCCTCCCCAACCCAGGATGAATACAGCGGATGCCAGCTGGCTCCCTCTGTTGCTCTGGCAGTCTGAGGAACCATAACCACCTCAGTGGCGTATGAATGGTGGAAAGGGTGGATTTTGTCATTTTTTGTTAGCATAGGAGAGGGGGCATTCCCATTAGTGGCCCCGCTGACAGGCCTGAAGGAAGGCAGTGCCAATGGGGACAGACAGTGGTCCAGCAAACAGGGACAGGCTGGGCAGCGCTTGCCTCCTCCAGGCCGCACAGCCTGGAGGAGCTCCAGCTGTGTTCAGCAGCTCCTCAGGACCACCTACCTACCAGTTAGCTCCCCAGGGAAGAAAAAATTGGGAGATTTTTGGCCCTGTGTGTTTTCTGCTGCTTCTGAGCAATTTTCTTTGGTAAGGGGGAGCCTTTCTGCCCCCTCATTGGTGCTGCAGCATTGAGCCCATCTGCTTGGCCCCAGTCTCCTTGCCTGCTAGCAACAGTTTTTTAGGACAGGCCAGGGGGCCAGTATTATGTCTTTGTGGCCTTAAGCAAATCAGACCAGAGGCTGCAGGACAGGCCCCATACAGCCACTCTGCAGGGCCAGCCTGCCCAGGGCAGTGGACATCAGCAGACCTGTTCTGCCTTGTGCCCAATGCGACCAGCCCAAGGGCAGAGCACAGGCATCGGGCCAAAATGTTTGCTCTGCCCTTCTTGCTGTGGAAATCCTGCGAAGGGGATAGAGCCACATGTTGGCCATGGAAGAGGCTACCTAGGCAAGGTAGCCGCTTCCTAGGGCTACCAAGCCATCCTCAGCAAGATGTGCTGGACTCCAGCCTGCACTGCTTGTGAGACTGTCACCAGTCTCCAGAGTGGTGTCACCTCCTCTCCAGAGTGGAGGAAGTGACAAGGTGACTCTGCTCTGCAAAATCTGAAAAATCGGCAAAAGAAACCCTCTTTGGGTCAGAATATGGCCAAGGGGAGGCTGCTGAAAACTACTGCAATGTCATCAGCATGCGCTGGCTTATGGGACAGAATTCCTTTCATACACGTCAAAGTATAACCATGTGGAAAAGCAACAGCTCAAATGCTGATAAGGTTACACTGGATTGTACGTGGCAGTGTTGGAAGCTAACACAGCGAAGCGAAGGGCTCAGTGGCTGAGGTGCAATGGGTACAGAAAGGAGCACAGCCAGGAGAGCATCTGCACCCTGGGGCCCCTCTCATTCACTGTAGGTAAGTCACAGAGCCACTCTGCATCTGTCAATCCTGGAGCACCTGGACGGCTGTGTAATTCCAGAGCCAAAACAAGGGCAGCTCCATGCCTTATTTGCTCATGCAATGTGTGCACAGTGGTTCTCCCTGTAAAAAACACCAAATAATTTTCAGCCTTGTGGTAGCTTACTGCCATGCCTGATAAACACATCAGAAACCCTCATCTACTCCTGGCTTGTGTTGCTGAGCTCCACTGGCACGTTCCTCCTTGCTGGCCTGGACTTCTGCTCTGCCCCTGGGGAGTTACACGCAGGGAGATCCCGGGATGAGGAACTAAGCAAAACTTTTCTTATTTTGCAAAAAAGAAAGAGCCGCTTCATTGCAGACTCCAGGGGCAGCTGGTACGGGCAGCCAGGCGGGCAGGCAGGCAGGAGCAGGGGGAGCACAAACAGCAGTATCTGTGTTTTACAGCAGCCTCAGCAGAGGCAGGGAGACCTCCTTCTGCGCTCGTGTGGGGCAGAGAGCAAATGACAAACAGGAGAGCCCAAGGCAGCCAGGGACCCCCAGAGAGGCACAGCTGGGAGCCTCCAAACCTGATTTGCAGCCCTGCAGCTGCACCTGCCAAGACTGATTGGCCCCCTTATCTATTAAAGGGGCTTGTTAGAATGGAGGAGGAGGACAGTTCTTCTGTGTGTAGCAGGGTGTTGCCTGGGTTAGAGGATCCAGCCTGATTCAGCCTCTGCAGTATCTGACTGAGGCTGCCAGGCCATGGTGGGAGTGGGACACCTCTTTCTGCTGGCCTCCCTTCTCTCTGGGTGTGGTGAGTCCCTGCAGTGGTCAAGGAGAGCTGTGCTCCTGGGTGGGGGCTGTGACAGGCAGCATGAGCTGTGTGCTGCTCCCATAACATGCTGAATGAGTAAGAATTCCAGATCATAGTGTGCTCATGCTATTTAAGCAATCTTAAGGCTGCCATTGCTGCCCTGGAAGCCTTTTCTACCCTCTTCATCTCCATGTTGCTCAGCACAGCACTTGCTTTGATTGCTGAGGTGAATGAGCCTTTCTCCAAGCAGGCTGCTCTGCTGTGATGTGGTCCCTTGGCTGTGAAAGAAAGAGACAGTGTGATCCCACTGAGCTTGCTAACTGGGGACCTTGGGGCAGTCAGGTCAGAGAAGTGTCTTGATGAGCAATGAGCTCTTCTAGCTTGCCGCTGATACCATATTCTCAATTCCTTCTTTTGTGCCCTCCTGGGGTGGCTGAAATGTTAATAACTCTCTCTCTCTCTCTGGCCTGTCTCCCACAGCTATATAAAGCAACTTCTTTCCTAGGAATACTTCTAGATAAAATAGAGAAATGGTGCCTTATGGAAGGATAGTTTCCTCCTGAGAGGCCAGGCTGTAAAGGAGGCCATGTTGGGCAGAGGAATGGTGATCTTCAGAACAACTTATTCTTAGTAATAAAATTAATGCTCAAAAGATTGTCCCACCTGGAGCAAGAAATGGGATAACTGGCTAACTGCCATTTCTTCTATCCCATGCCAGTTTGATGCTGGTCCTACCTAAAAATAAAGGGGAGGTCTGGAGGGGTAGTGTTGTGGTAGTTGGTGACACTTAGGATCCAGACTCTCAGTCTTCTCCACTGGCTTATTTGTGAAAGTTACTAATCCAAAGTGACCTCAGCAGAGTTAATCCAGGCTCACACCAGGGCAAATGCGGTGTGAGTACCTCCTGAATCTGAAGTGTTCTATTGCTTATGCTCTGTAGGGCTGAAAAGTAAATCTGTATCTAGGTCTCCCATGGCTTGGCCTGGCTGGGGGCAGGGGACTCCCACCTATTGGCTTGTTGTCATGAGAGAAACACTGGATGCGAACTAACAGAGCAATTTCAGCTGGTGCTGCTTTAGACACAAGCCCGCTGAAGGGAGTGGAAGAAGAGCGGCTGTCCCCTTCTCAGCAAAGGAGCCAGAGGTCTGAAACAATCCCTCTCTCCAAGACATCCAGCCTGGAGAAACCCACCTCTGGTATGAGGAGTTATAATCAGTTCCTTTTCTTTGTGCCACAAGTATTTAAAATAGCCCCTTGCAATGCTGTTTGCTGTGACTAATGTTCTGCAGCTGATCTCGTGGGGTAGTGCACCTGGTAGTCTTCCCACCCCAGCATGTGGTCTGGCAGGTCTATCAAATGTATATGTTGTTCCCTGCTTGGTGAGGATTAATATTTTTTCTTGTTTATGCTTTTTCTCAGAAAATGTAAATGGGATGGCAATAAATTTATCTCAAAGTGCACAGTTCACTGAAGCATCTAAAACTTAATCAGATCCAAACATCCCTGGCTGGCCTCCACCTTAAGTCAAACTTTTCCTGTGCTCATTGTCCATGTTTTGAAGGCACAATCAGTGCCAAAAGCAATGTGAGAAAGCTCTATCTCCTTGCAATGTATTTCAGACTGAAGCCAAGACTGAATGCTAAGCCAGCTCAATTCAGAGACAGGATCTTTCATTATGACTTTAGTTGCTTTGGTTGTTAAATGCCACTGAACACTTTTTAATGTAGGATTTCCAAGACAATACCCTCTGAAGTAAGTCAGGTGGCATTCTTATCTGTTACACTTGTTACTTAAAATGCAACTGGGACTTGCAAAATTATTAGGAATAATTAGGTTACTGGATGAAATATAAATTAGCTTTTTTATGACTGGACACACATCATAAAAGTACCTCGTGGGAGACCTCAGCTTTGCATAGATCAGCTTCTTATCAAGACATACAGTTTCTGTGTTTTCTTTTACAACTGCATAATTGCCTTGAGCTTGGAGCTCAGGCTGGTGTCAGGAAAGCTGGGACACATTGCAGATGTTACATCAGTTTCCCATCCTCCAGGAGAGCCTGAAGCCTGAGGTGATACTCTGGATCACGTGGGAGGCAGTCTCACTGCAAAATACGCATTTGTCTCTTATGCAGGGCTGAAATGTGGTCTTCGTCCCATTGACCTGAAGAGCCCAGAGGACCTTCTGCCACCTGGATCCTTCTCTCGAATTGTTGGTGGGAGAGATGCTGTGCCTGGAGGACAGCCTTGGCAGGTCTGTCTTATAAAGTGCTATTCTTGTCCTCACTGGGAAGGGGAAAGAAAGGGGAGGAGAGGTGGGAGCAACCTCTCATTTTTCCTCAAGCTGCTGAATGCCGCTCACTCAGGAGCAGGATCTGTTCCAGAAGTTCCTCCTGCCCAGTTCCCCCAGGCTGACCCTCCCTTCAGTAACCTCTGAGGTAGGGAGGGTCTAAGCTGATTTAATGGTTAGGGTGAGACCTCTGGCTGTTGGGAGCTCCTGCAGTTGCAGAGTTTGCGATGCTTACCAGCTGAGGATCTGCTGGGTTTTAAGATGCAGAAACTGAAAACAAGAACCCCTGTCCAGTTCCCTGCCACAGAGGAATGTTACTTCCCCTAACGATTTGCGTTCATGTAATGAAAAAACTGAGTGATGACGATGGGGCTATGATTTAGAAGTAACTTAGCAGGACATGGTTCTAGTTAGAAAGAAACTGCTTTAATAGCTATCTCCTACACAACAAAAGTATTTCTTGTTTGTGTGTTGCCAGAGCTCAGTTTGAGACCTGTGGCAAACAGTACTTGCTACCTCCTTACCTACCTACCCTAGAACCTCATCCCTATATGTGTAGCAGCTTGGAAATGCGTGCGGGTAGCAGCATGAGGGGCTGGAGGGAGCAGGAGGTGGTGGGATAGGAGGAGGGAAGGGTGCTAGGGTCAGGGGGATGGACCCTTGGGATCCTTTTCTAGTGTCGAGCCATGGGGAGGTTCCCACAGCAGCGATACCAGTCCAGTCACCTCTGTTTCAGGGAGCTCCAGGGTTTCAGTGCTGGTGGGACTGAAGATGGATATTGAGGGTCAGCCACAGCTGAGAAATGGCTTCCCTGGGCCTCAGGCAGCTGGGAGTCCCACATGAATATTGAGAAGAAAAGGCAAGGCTGTGAAGCCTTTCTGAGCTGGTCTGATCTTTGATGCATTTACATTTTGGGAAGAAACAGAACTTGCCTCATCTCGAGGTGTCCCTGACTCTCTTTGAAGGTGTCTCTCAAACTGGGTCGTTTCCATTTCTGCGGTGGCAGTCTAGTCCGAGAAGATGTGGTTATCACCGCAGCTCACTGCGTGGCCAACCTGGAGCAGTAAGTCAGTCTGTCCTCCTAACTTTCTCTTGAAGCTTCTCACAGCAAAAGTGCCCATTACAACAAGGGGCGCTCATGAGTGTGGTGTGCCTCCCTGATTAGGGAGGGAATGGCACCCACGCGGTTTGGTGGGACCAGTGCTCTGCAATGTGTGGCTCTGGCGCAGGTCACTCTAGAGTGAATTATGCTCCCCCTCCCCCACACCAGCACCCTCTTGCTGGAGGAGAAATACCCAGAGAACCAAACCAAAGATCAGGGAGAGGGCTCCCTGCACAAGGAGTTTGGAAATCAGATTTAAATGCCCTATTCAGTTAAGAGACTGGATTAGGAGTTGGACTTTGGTTAATGAATTCTGTCTCCCGAAGAATTAACTACTTGTCTGAATAAAGGATAGTCTAGAGTGAAAAATCCTTACTAAACAGGTAAAATCAGCAGCCCTGGCAGCTGTCCTATTACTCATAGCAGTCACATGGGCTTCTGTACTTTCAATGCAAGACCAGCTTTACAAAGCATGCTAAAGACCTCTTAATGGGCAGAGACAACACCTTAAGTGGCACTTTTGCCAGCCCTTTTATAATCTATTATAATTACAGACTAGTCAGCTTCACATCTGTGTCTTACTGAACCTGAGCACCGTTTTTAAGGACCAATGTTGAATAATGAGAAAGTTGCCATGCTGTAACAAATTTTCATGTGAGAGCTAACGAGATACCTCCTTGTTTCTATATGCAGTGCAAGATTAGTCAGTGCTTTTACGCTCAGCTGTTATGGCATTAATGCTGCTCAGTGTTCCCATCTATTGCAGCTTTTGCATTGCCAGGCAATCCTGGTGTCAGAAACTGCTGAGAAGTATAGGAACAGTTCATTGTACCAGTAAACAGCTCAGTTTTAATCTCAGGAGACTGTCATCAGTGGATTTGTTACTCATGTCTGGAAATAATTAGAAAGTGGGGGGAAGGGTTTTCTCAGGTTGAAAAATCTTAATTTGTTGGCAAGTACTGAATCAAAGGTTTAAGCTGCAATCCCCAATACCACGATTCAAAACTCTTGGTGCCACTGCTCAGAGCAAGTAGTCATAAAACGTAACCATCAGTCCCCTCAAACCAGGCTGCGTGGCCCTTCTACCTCCCACAAAGGCCGCACCGCTGAAGTAGTGCGGTAGTACATTTTACTGGTTGGACTTTCATGAATCCCATGGAGGTTATAGAGGAGACTGAGGCAGGTGGTGCATCACTGACAAACAGGCTTTGAAGCTGTTGCCCAGGTACTGGAATTTCCTGAATTCTCACCTCAATACAGTGTGAAGGGAAGATATAGTTGTCTCAGGTTTGAATTTTGTCCACTTTCTGCAATAGTTCAGGTAGACCTTTAAATCAGCCCTAATCTGTAAGGTCTCCAGAGAAGCTTGCTGCTGTGTGAGTCCATAACAGGAGATCCAGACAACCAAAACAGAAAGGACAAGTAATGCTCCTGCTTTCTACTGGAGGAAAGGAGTTTGATTCGCAAATCCAGGTTATGGCAGATCTAAGGATGTGGGTCTCATCTCCTGTTAGGCAAAAACTGTCCCTCTCTGCAGCTTTCCAGTCTCCTTACTGTATTCCAAAGAAAATAAATAGCTTCAGTAAAGAAATAATTTCTCTGCTGCCCATCTGTTTATTGGGTGCAACTGCTTTGATAGTATAGTTATCTCCCTAATCGTGCAAAGAAGTATCCGAATAGTATTTGGGCTCTACTTGAGCTGATTGCTCTAACTTTAACTATTACGTTATATTGCTTAAAAAATATACAACAAAACTATAATGGGCACACGTTTGTCTAGTGTTAATTTAAACTACATGTATTTACCTAAAACCGTCACAGAGCTCTTGTATTTAGGAGCTGAAGAGGCCTACATTTTTCAATAACAAAACTGGAAAGGAGGATTTAGGGGATCAAAATGGCTTTGGCACTCAGTTCCCAATGCTTTTAATGCAAAGTGCTTTTAATGTGATGTATGTCACTTTGGGATCCCAGATTGTGGGTAACAAAGGCTGAGCCACAGACCATCTCCTGTTATGGGTGTCCTGAGGTGTGAAACAGCATAGATGCTGTAGCAGGCCCAGGGCAAAAGGTAAAATTGCTCTTCTCCCTCATACTGGGCTGGCTATGAAGAAATCTGCTAGCCCTTCCCTGGCCTTCTGGCAGCTCTGCCCTACCTGGATATGAATAGTGGCTTGATAGATAGCAGATGAAACAAAACCAGTATATCCTTTTAGTTAATAAAATAAAACAAGCTAACGCAAGGCAGGGGCCCAGTGAAATGTCCTGTTGCCGAGGGCCAGCCCCTGCTCCACAGGGTGGGAGGGTGTTGTGGAGTCAAAGCTCGGCATCTGGGTGGGCACAGCCACCTCTTGTGGGAAACAGCCTGCCCTGCGGCTGCAGCCCCTTTTCCTCTGTAAAGGAGCCTCTTTCCATCAGGAAGCTCCTGGGGAGGCTGGTGGCAACGGTGGGGGAGCATCACCTCTGGCAGGTGGATCGGCTGGAGCAGAGCATCCCGGTCTCGCATGTCGCCATCCATCCAGGGTTCAACAAGCAGCGCTACATGGACTGTGATGTGGCAGTTCTGCACCTGCAGCACCCAGCACGGTGTGGTGAGCCTCCGAGGGTGAAGGAGAGAGTGTGGCTGGCTGCCGTGAGAGGATGCTTTTTGCAGTGAAAGTGCTAATCTCATTCACCGCTCTGGGGAAAAACACTTCTCTTCCTTCCCCTGCTCTCTAGGCTAGAGAAATGTCCCCGCAGCTATGCCTCTTATTTTATCCGAGTAATTCGATTAGGGTAATTCTAATCCAGTCTTAGTGACTTTGATTAACTGTCAGGGAATTCTAGCCCTTGGGTCAGGGACTGTGCATCGGATACGCCCATGCTTCCTTTATAGCGTGAGTCTCATGTGTGCCTCTGCTCCCCTTGTACAAGCTGTACCAGCACTGTGTTTCCTTGAGCCCTGTTGTGCCAATGCCAGATTTCTGTTAGCTGCCAGAAAGCTGTCAGCTTCCTCTTAGCTGTGACCCTTTGCTATTTATTAGCAATGGACTACCAGCATCCTGCCCACTGAGAAGCGGGCTGGATTGAAACCTCCTCTTGCCAAGTGCTTTCACAGGCAAAGGCAAAGTCTCTGCAAGTAATCTCAGGGTTTTGGTGTTAGGGAGATGGTGTAAGTCTCTAGCTTTCCAGGCTTTTGGGGAGACACCGCTCTGGGTTACACAGAGCTAGGATGAGCTGCAGCCAGGTGGCTGTGACTGACTGTCAGATGGCAGATCAGCCAAGGTAGAATAAACCTTTGTCACCACTGTCTTGAGTCACCATCTCAGGCAGTGCTAACCTCGCCTCTGCTCCCATCTGCCCTGTCACGCTGGTCCCCTCTCCCTCTTTTGTCCCCTTGCCAACTATCCTTCTGCCTCCTGTTCTTATGTTAACATTTAATGGCAGTTAATAAACTTCCTGATCTCTCTCTCTGAATTTGTCCTGGCTCAGGATAAACTCAACTAAAAGCGAATAACTTCAGTTTGTATTGCAGTTTTATAAATGCTTGTGCCTGAACGCTTTGGGGGGAATGAAAAATGGAACAGCACAACTCGAAGGAGGCTGGCTGTGCCTGTTATGAGACTTGTTTCTGGAAGTGCTGGGTTCGTGCGCTCACCTGCGCACCCTTTCCTCCGCAGGGGACGAGGTTCACCCCATCTGCCTTCCCCACAGAGATGAGGATTTTGAGGCTGGGACCCTGTGTGTGGCTAGTGGCTGGGGCAAAGTGTCAGAGGGTGAGTAAAATGGCAGGGTGTTTTGCTGGCAGTTACTGGAATACAGGCAATGAATGAGGGAAAGGACACTTAGTTTTAGAAATAGAAATACAAGGGAAGGTGACTCTTGCCAGATGGAAAATTAAAGGTCTCCTCTGCTTGTCAGAGGACTCGTCCCTGGCAGGGATGTGCAGGTCAGCATTTTCCTGCCCCGGTGTGATCTCGGAGTCCATTAGCAGTAGTTGCACTTTGCAGTGATGCTGTACATATTCATGCCTGTGTGTTGAACCCTTGCACAAGCAGAACTTGCAAGGCTTACAAGATGCTACAAAAGGGAGAATAGCTCCCTTATACTTAAAAATATATACTGTCTTCTATACTGTCTTTTCCAGATATGAGCAAATGGTTTCCTCAAAGGAATTGCAGTTTAAATTTTGGGAGATTTCAAAGGAGTTGAAAGGAGCACTGCTTTCTGCCAGTTCCTCCTTCCTTTCCCCCTCCCAGACAGGAGATGTCCTGCTCTTGCCCCATTCAGAAGCACTTCTCTCTGCACTAGCTGAGGGCGGACCAATGCATCTATTTGCCCAGCTCTGTGCCTCTGTTCAGTGATCCCCGAACTGCCTCAAAATGTCACTGCCAGCAGGCAATGGGCATGGAGCACCCCAGCCACTCACAGTGTTGGTCATGGCTCTCAAATGTGGAGGGCATTGGCTACTGTTTGGCCAGGAAGGGTGAGCTGTCTTGCAGAGCGCAGCCACCGTGGTGGGTGCTGGATGTGGCCCAGTTGTTCCCGCAGGTGCTGGGGAGCTGGCTCCTGTGCTGCAGGAGGTGGAGCTGCCCATCATTGATGGTGAGACCTGCGGTGCCCTGCTGAGGGAGATGAACCTGCCACCACCGTCGCAGGGCTTCATGCTGTGCGCTGGCTTTCCTGATGGGGGGAAGGATGCGTGCAAGGTAACAACCTGTCCCTTGCTGCTCGTTTGGCCTGGAGCTCCTGCTGGGCAGCAGGCCTGTCCTTTCCACCAGCAAATCTTTCTCTTGAGGAGAAAGGAAAACTGCTGCGTTGACAGTGCTGTCAGCTCTCTGCTGAGCAAGGGCCTTGCAAGGAGCTTCAGGATAACAAATGCAGGAGGGGCCTTTTGCTGGTGGAAATACTGATGTGGGTAGGAAACTGGAGTGAAACTGCTCGCCTGCCCTGAGCATCGCTAACAGGAGGAGACCTTTCTCAGCGTGCAGGTGCCACCACCTCTGCTCAGACCTGGAGTGACCTTCAGTGGTGGCACCCCATGCAACAGCCAAGGGAGTTTGGCATGGGCAGCCCTGCCAGGAGGACAGAAAGAAGGAAATTCCCACCTTTTCCTTAATGTTGTTCCTATATGCACTAAAGCTTTCCTACATGGCAAATTGATATGGGCTGCCCTAGCCCATTTCCCATTGGGACTATCAGATTGGAGTTCGCTCAGCACCAGCCCTCTCTGTGCCATTCCTAATAACAGGAGGGGGTCTTGTCTTGCCCTGACCCTAGAAAGGCTGTCTGCTGTGTTGCCACTAGCCTGCTTTGGGTGTACTTGCATAATGTTATTTTAGTACTAAGTAGCGGTATGGGAAGCTCCCTGCCCCCTCTTATAGCGTGCGCAAATATTTGCAAGGTTGTGCTGCATCTGGTGTTAGTGAAATAGCTCTTGTTTTTAAATTCTTCCCACAAAAAAGGGTCTGTGGGAGGGAAGGATAGGGGGAGTGAAGCAGCAGAACTTAGACTTGCCCTGGTTAGATAACTTGCTGCAGCTGAATGAGCAGCAAACATGCCAGGCCCGGGTGACTGGGGAGAAGCAAATGAGGTTGTATTGGTCTCAGTAGTAGAGCTGACCTGTCATGTAACCCTGGCAAAAAGGCCTGTGCTGCTGGCATGTGAATAACTGGAATTTTTCTTCCCCAATGGGATGAACAGGGTGACTCTGGAGGCCCCCTCGCATGCATGAGACCCAGTGGTGCCTGGACCCTGGCTGGTGTGGTGTCCTGGGGGGTTGGCTGTGCAAGGGGTTGGGATACCCTGAAGAGGCGCACCATGGCCCGGGGCTCCCCAGGCATCTTCTCCCGGGTGGCTGCATTTGTGGACTTCATAGCTCAGCACATGAAACCCGGTAGGTGCGAGGACCTTGAGGCTTTTCTCTTATCTGTTCACCATAGGGATTCAAAATTGTCCTGCTATTTCTGTCTTCCCCCCTCTACCCACAGCAGTTCTGTTTCGTTTCCACCCACTTCGTAAGTAGCAAAGTATTTTCTGAAGTTGGGATGGTAGAAACAAAAGTTTGAATAGATGCTTCCCCCTTCAGAAACACTGTTACAATAGCAGCATTGACCTTCACGTCCTCTGAGCGGAAAAGCAGAAGGCTACTCAGGCTGCCCGCTTTCTGGATGAATGCAGTTCTTCTCATTCAGAAGTGTCCCTCGAGCACTGAGTGCCCATCCTGTTCTCGTGAAAGCTCTTTAAGTGCTTGCCAGCTAAAGAGCTGAGCTGCTGTTGTGTTCCTGAAATGGCACACAGGATTGATCAGGGGTTATCTCCTAATCAAATGCAACTTTGAACACGTATGGGAAGAGGTGCACTGGATTAAGTGCATCAGTTTTAGTGGCTTATCAGAAGTGCCTTTCATAGCTAGGCATAGGCCTAGCAACTCCCTGCAGGCCGCTTGTGTTAGCACTACAATAATCTGTATAGAAAAAAATACAAGTTATTAAAAAGATGTCATTATTTCCATCATAGCTGTCAAAGCTGGGGTGTTGGTTATAAATAACACCTGACCTATTGCAGCTTGCTGGGGCTCCTTAATGATTATGCTTTCTAAAGGGGACTGTGTGCAGCTAGGAATGCACCTCTTAATTGGAATGATAACTATAAGGAGTAGAAACCATGTGGCTACAAACAAAGTGGTTGCGTTAGCCTTTGCAAAGCAGAACTATCAGGATTCACACAAATCAAATGCCCATGGAAGATGAAGAGGATACTAATGTAAAAAGTGTTCAATTAAAAATAAACTTGGAGGCAGTTATTTCAGTTCTTAGTAGGGTAAATGAACGCAGGCCTACTGTGTTAGGAGGACAGCTTCAGAGATCTGGGGAGGTTTTTAAATAGCGCTTTGGGAAGAAATTGCGTTAGCATCTGAGACTTCTCTCAGCTGCATGTGAAGCGTTTTGTGTTTGAAACAACTATAGTGCCATAGCCTGTGCCTTGACTGATAGTGTCTGTATTGAAATATCCTTTACAATGCTTTTCTCTCACTAGCTGCTGCGCCAAGCCCTCTTTCTGCACCAGCTCAGTGCAGTTCCCAAGGCATACTGGTTTTTGGAGAAAGCGGTCGTGTTCAATACCCGCAGTCTTTGGAGGATAATTACCCTGACAACAGGTATCTGCTGTGGTAGCCACACACTGGATTTTCTGCAGAGCACCTATTGAAGCATTTTCTAGTGCTCGGAAGCACTCCTGACCACTGTTGGTCTGTTGCCCAACGCTGGCTGGGGAACAGCTTCCAGAAGTGTCTGGATTCCCCCTTGCCAAACCCCCCCTCCCCCCCCCCTTTTTTTTTTTGCTGGGCATGACAGCCCTGAGGACAGGAAGACACAAAGTTTGTTTATAAAATAGATTCTATATGAGCCACACTCATAAAATTGTGGCTGGAGATCTGTTATACCCTTTATCCTTTGTAGTCTCATCATATATATGTCAGCTCACGCTAAAAGGCTTTTAGCTCTTGCAAGATGCACAGGAATGAGGTGACCTGGCATGACAGTGTGTCCTTTCCTTACAGCAACTTTGAGTTGTACAAGTGTCAGTCCCTACCTAGTGCTGAGCAAATTCACAGCAATCACTTGCTATTGGTGACTCTCTTCCCAGGCAGCTTATGTCAAGAGAGAAAATGGTAAACTTTGCCAACTGAAGCTGGTGACATCACTCATCAGCTTGTGGCCTGTGCTAGCAGGAAAGTGGTCACTGGAGATCCCCAACCAAAGGTGGGACCAATGAGGGTTAAGCTCAGACATGTGGATACATGCCTTTACTATTGCTTGCTTTTAGCCTGTGCATCTGGAATATAACAGTGCCAGAAGAGAAGATCATCTTGATACACTTCACCAAACTAGACATAGAGAGCCAAGTCGGATGTGACCGTGACTATGTGTCCCTCTATTCGAACAGAAGAGAGCTAGTCAGTAAGTCTCTGTGCCTTGAAGTGAGGGTTACTGGGTGCAATCTCTTGCCTTTGCTGTGAACAATAGCAAATCTAGCCAGCTTTTGAGAAGCCTTTTGTATTTTGCACTGCAATCCTAACTGAGCGAGAAGGGCACCCCAGCGGAGCACAGCAGGTGGGACTGAGGCACATATTCATATTTGCGCGGGCATCCAGGGTAGGGTCATGAGCTAAAAGTGTCTCAAAAAATGTTTTACAGCTGAACTTAACTGGTGTGTGCCCGAGTGAGTTTCTGGTGCTGGAGTGTGTTAGTGAAGCCAGCAAGTGTTGTGTGTTGGAGACAGTGCATAAGTTTGGCTGTTTGTCTCAAACTTGATTATATGACACAATAAATATGCAGACTACTTAGTAACTGTAGAGAGTAGACTAAAAGGAAAGTGGTCTGTTGTCACTCTATGAGGCGCTCTTGATTGCGCACTCAGAGTAAGTGTTTCATGCAAATATTGTCTGCTTCTCTGCTCTACCTTAGTATTAATAGTTACGTGCTAATAATAGCCTAATGGTAATCCTTAGACCATGCAATTCATCCTCCAGGAATGTTCATATGGTTGTTTTGGATGAAGTCCCATTTCTTTAGTTTCTCTCTACAGCCTCTAAATACTTTCAGGTAGTTAAACCAGACTAGTGTCTCTCTTCAGTGTGAGAAGAGACCTTCCTAATGGGATCTAGTGTAACGAACAGCTAAGATTTGCTTGAATGAATGTATGCTCTGTCTACGCTTAACACCAGCTCCATGTCTTCCCTCAGGTAAGGTCTGTGGGGATGTGCTACCAGCCCCTCTGCTGATAGAGTCGAACAGAGCTACTGTCAGGTTTGTTTCTGATGAAGGCAATGCTGGCCGTGGTTTCGAGCTCACCTTCACAGCCATCCATAAGGATTCTGAAGCAGGTGACCTTGTCTATGCTGTAGAAACTCCTTTAACCTTCTTTCTGGCCCCCTTAAAGCAACCACTATCTTTAGTGTGCCTGGGTGCTTTAAGAATCAAGTTGATGTAGGTTTATTAAAAACACTGTATGATTCCTTCTATCAAATCTATCTCCTTTCTTGTCTGTAGGTTCAGGCTGTGGGAGCGTTGCAATGTTAGTGGAAGAGGGGAAGATTGATACTGCTAATTACCCTGGCTTGTATCCCAGGAACACAAAGTGCCACTGGCTCATTGAGGCTCCAGTAGAGTATGTCATAAAGGTAATAAAAGGAGAAACTGCTTAAACATCTGCACTAAGAACTATTCAGGGAAGCAGGTCAATAAAATCCTGCCAAGAATATCTGACACGCAAGTCTGTAAACTGCGAGGTTTCCAGGTCACTGACTCTTCAAAGGGCCTATTTTGCCAATTAGGCATTGCCTCTGAGCTGGTGTATGGAGCTGCTGTAACTGCTCCATAATGACTGTGGTAAGTGCTTGCAGTTTGTAGGTACTGATCTAATCTATAGATAGCTTTATCTTGAAGTTCAGTATGGAGTTTTGGGGGCAAGGAAAAGGTAGAGATCGTGCTGCAAACAGCATAGTCATCCTTTTCCTCAAGGCAGTGCCAGAGCCACCAAGCTGCTCCTTAGCTCTATACCAAGATGTTTGCTTCTTGCTGTACGTGAGCTGTGTGTTAATAGTTCCCAATCATCATACCAGCATCCTTTCTTATTTTTACTGCCTGTCACTGTGCAGCAAGCATCCTAGTGGACTAGTCCCACCCTCTGATAGAAGTCACACTGCCATCTTGCATTGCTGAAAGCAACATCTTTCTCCTATTGTCTTGGCTAAGCAGAGGAAAAATTGTAGGCCTAGGGCTGTTCAATGGCATGCGGACCTGTTATTTGGGTTGTCATTGCTGTGTTTATGTGAGAATTTGCTGTCTGGAAAAAAAAATAGGAGGGAGGAAGCCCCCTCACTCCCCCATGCTTGAAGGCAAAGCTCTGCCAAGGGCACTTCATATGGAGCCTTTGACGTACATTGGATGTTGCAGTAAAGATGTAGTAAAAGTGTGATACAGTAAAGATGACCTGAGAAATCCCTTAAGGCAAAGCTTAGGCCTGCTTCATCCTCTGCACCCCTATTCTGTAGCTCTGCAGAGAAGGAGCAGTCAGGACAGTCCAGCCGAGGTCTCCAGCTGACAGAGTTTGGATGCAAAATGTGACCCCTCAGCAAGCGAAGCTATGCCCAAATTCTCCCTAACTTTTCTCCAACATTGCTAAAAGGTTAAGTACTTCAGTTATTAATCCAGCCTTGATGACTGATTCAGTTTGGCTTGCCTCCTTTACAGCTGGAGTTTGAAGACTTTGCTGTTGAACTGAGCCCAGGCTGTATTTATGATTCGGTTACTGTTTATGGTGATGCAGAAGAGGAAAACCAGTTGGGTGAGGACTGATTGCTTCAGTCTTAAATTAGAATTCACTATAAAAACAGGCTTTTTATCATCAAAGCACTTTCTCCAGTAATGTGGTACTTACCTTGCCCTTTCAGGGATATGTCAAGTGTTTCTGCAGTAACCTTGATGTTTCTGCCCTGCACTTAGTGCTATGGTTGAGCTCCATCAGCACAGGAGTTCCCATGTCCTGGTGGAGGCAGTGCCTTGCCAGGAAGAGCTGGCTGACATTGAGGGGCCAGTACAGGACCAAACTGATGTTCTGCTGTGGCTCCAGCAAAGCGTACAAGTGTGTCCTGCTGTACCTCGTCCTCTAAGGCAGCAAGAGAAACTCTACTAAGTGTCACTTACGAAGATAAAACTTAAGGCAGAGTGACAGAACTACTGCTGATTGGTATATAATGCCACTGAAGTAGAGATGAATTCTTTATGAATTGAACCAACAGTGCTGGAACTTCAGTAATGAAAAATTGCTAACCTTAGGGCATCATACTGCTGTGCTTTCAAAAGGAAACATTTTTCATTTATTCACTTTACAACTACTTCAGTTTTATTGATACTGAAATTTTAACATAAGTGGAAAATGTTCTTAACTCTCCTTTCTTGAGGAAAACTGTTTGCAGATCTTCATGCTTGGACCAAACTGAAGCATGTTGCAATGCTTCAGTTGCTTAAGAAACAGCTTCCAGGCATTACACTTGTGTTAGCTGAGCTCTATCCCTTCTTAAGGTGAAAAGCAATCTGGTGCTCAACAAAGACACTTGAGTCAAATTTTGGCTGCCTCTTCACAGGCTGATATGTGACTCAAGACAGATTAAGATGGTGAGGGAGTGGTGCTCTTTTCTCTACAGAAAATAAGCTGAATACCAGGCTTGCATTGTCCTGGTATTGCCACTGACAAGTGACCTTACCTTCTGTTTTGTGGTGGTAATTTAGCTTCATGTTTACAAAGTGCTGACTAAGTATTAATAGTAGAGCTCCCCTGGAAAAGAAATCTCACTTTCAATGGAAATCAGAACATATTTAAACAGGGAAAGGTTGACAAAACAGAACATGGAGCCCTTTTGGGGAAAGAAAACTCTTAGCATCCTGAAGCACTTCACTCAATGCTTTCCAGTACAAGTTTGCCTTAGGAAATTTTACTTCTTACAGGAAAACTCCTTTGGAATGTGCTGCAAGCTTTCAGCCCAGCTCTAATTATGGGACTCCCATATGCTCTGCAAATGAGTGCTCTCGAGAGGAAGGAGCAAGCTCTACAAGTCCTTCTCTAAGCACATAGCTCATTTGGGAGAGACTTTACTTGTATCCCATAGTGACAGAAAACACAGTTCTCTGTGCAGTTTTTGTGCAATGGAGGGTATTCACACTGAGATTACTTCTAACTCTACCAGGAGAGAACAAGGATTATATTTGTATACCTGTAGCATAGTTATAGTATGCTAATTCTGGCTGCTCCCACTTTGTACTGGGGTTCCTTACTGGGGTAGCTAAAGAACATTGTCATGCAAATGTCTTCTGGAAAAGTTTTTGCTTTTAGAAAGTCATGAAGCTTCCAGATTGTCATGGCTTCTTTTTTTTGAAACCTAGATTAGCTAAAGCCAGAAGTGCCTAAGTGGTGATATTTCTCATTTTAAGTAAGCCTATTCTTTCCCACAGCTAATCTCTGTGGATTCTCAACTCCTAAAGCAGTACTGAGCCCTGAGAATATGATGCTGGTGCATTTTCAAAGCGATGGGGAGAACAGCTTCAGAGGATTCAGAGCCAGGCTCGCTTTTGTTCATTCAGGTTAGCAGAGACGCTTGCTGTGTGCAACAACGTCTACATCATCTGCATCTATTTTTAGACTCCTGAGCTTATTTTTTTAGACTAATCCTGCTGCAGTCTGTCAGAGTAATGTTTAAACAGAATACTGCTTGTAGTGGAGTGCCCTCCGCTGAATAAGGGAGATGAATCAAGCTTTTTCCTCTGAGAAATGACTAACTTCTGTCACCTGAAATGAGCAGCCTTGTTAATTCTGTCAGTCTGATTTCTCCCCCACCTTAAATCTCATTATACAGGAGAGCCTTGAACCTGGGGGTGAGTCTGCTGTTATTGCTTCCTCATATCAGGAGCATGCCAGCTGCTGCTTTGGGGGTGGTGGGGTGAATAACATTTCCCTTCCAGAGTAGAGATTTTTTGGTGGGGGGGCAGACAGGCTGGAGATGTTGATGCAAGTCAGGGAGAGCTGACTCTTTTTTTTTCTCTCTTCTAGAAGAAGCAGGAAGAGAAGATTTGGGGTCAACTACTGTACCAGTGTTGCCTCTGAAAGATGTCCTCTTGGGTAAAGAAATTAAACTCTGCTCTGTTGTTCTGTTTTTAGAAGCTTTCCCCTAATGTATAACAGGATTTTGGCATGAGGTAGATGCTTTCAGACCTGACATCCTCTCTTGTGCAATTCCTGTACAGAAGAAAAGCAGTAGGGAAATGCCTTGTCTCCTCCTCTATACAAGTAGCAGGTTCTCGCTGTTCTGCTTGCACGTACTTCCTATCTGCAGTGGGAAACATGGGGTGAGAGGATGAGACCTGCTTTCGGTGCCTGAGTCTTGCTTGCTCTCCAAAGTGTTAACCTCCTCAGTATTCAAGTTTTCAGTTAACTGTACTATTTCCTTCCCCAACACATTCCAGACAGAACAGACAAATTTGGTATCTCCTGCATCTTTGATCTAGCTGTATCCACCATGTAAGATTATCCAACAAAATAAGAAACTTGCATTTAAGCTCTGCTGATTAGGTCTCTGCTGTCTTGCAGGTGCCTGTGGACTTCCTGCTGTCGCTCCCTGGTGGCTGTTCAAACACCTTACCAGGAGTGAAGAGGCCTGCCCCCACTGCTGGCCTTGGCACGGGGCCTTGAAGTTCCTTGGAGACTACCAGTGTGATGGGGTTGTCATCAGCCCTGTGTGGCTGCTGACAGCAGCCCACTGCATGCAGCTGTGAGCGTTGCATGGCCAGCGTGTCCCTGGTGGCCAGTGCTCCTCTGGGCTGGGATGTGAACAGCCTTACTAATGTGACTACCCACAAATTACATCCATGTGTCTGCTTCCTCTGCTATGTTTTCTGCCTTTCCTCTTACTGCTGATTTTAGAGCTAGCACTGTTTTGGTTTTGCCTGTGCTTGATCTGTCTGATTGCAGAGCTGATGTAAAGCACTTGTAGTGAGAAGCTCT